CTGTGTCACTAAAAGGGCCCTATGCTGAAAGTCAATAGATGTTTTCTCACCCTAATTCACTGTGAGGCAAACCATTCACCCTTTGTAAAAGAGAGCTTGCCCTATAATTTCCACAACCTCATCTAAGTTTGATTTTGTGGTCTTCTAAATTTATCTGTTTCTAAGAATTTCCTATTCTGATTCCAAGGATCTAAAATTCTCAATGCTTCTTCTGTGATGGGGAGAGGGTGCTAGGAAGGAAATTAAAGCCTGATACTTCCAATTCTCGAAGAAAAGTGACCATATCCCTTCCAGACTTAACTGATTTTTTCAAAGCAGGCTGCAAAGGGGACAGAAGGGTTAAGGAAAACAGCAATGAATGGTTTCTGGCTCTCTGCTGGGGTAGAGTTATGGTTGGCCCCTCTGATCTCTGTTACTGTGGATTGGCTGCTGACACAAGAGAGAATTTTAAGGTGTAGAGAAAATCTAGTAATGCTGTATAACTTAGCCCAAAATTTCACCATTATCACTTTGAGTGAAACCATTGTTCTAAGAAGACCCCAGCAAAGATTGGTGCTTAAGTTGTTAAATGATGGAATGAATGAATGAATGTTCATCAGTGTCTGTAATTCCACTTCAGTTAGAAATCTGTTCCTGTGATAATGCCATTGGTTACAGCTCAAAATCAAACGTCCTGGAAAGGGACCTGGATTAATAGGAGAGTGGATTAATGTGTGGAATCAGGCTCTCAGTCAGGAAAATATGTGGTAATATTTGAATCATACATCCATAGTGGTTAAGTTGGTAGGCTCTGGAACCAGACTGTACGCGCGTGCCCATGCACGTGCACATGCACGCTCATGCTCAGTCCTATCCAACTTTTTGTGATCACATAGACTAGCCCACCAGGCTCCTCTGTCCATGGAATTTTCCAGGCAAGAAAAACTGGAATTGGTTTCCATTTCCTTCTCCAGGGGATTTTCTCAACCCAGGGATCAAACCCACATTTCTTGCATCTCCTGCATTGGCAGGCAGATTCTTTACCACTGAGCCACCTGGGAAGCCCCCTGGAACCAGATTGACTAGGTTCAAATCCTGGTTCTACTACTTAGTAGCTCTGTGACATGGACAGGTTACTTAATCTTTTGGGTCCTCAGTTTCCTCATCTTTGAAATAAAGTTGATATCAGTTTATACCTCACAGGGTTGTCATGAGGATTAAATAAGTCAATGTATGTGAAGCATTTACAAAGGGGTCTGATACAGTGAGAACTCTGAGAGTGTTTGACTGTTAGAATCAGATGGAATCTATGGAGTTGTCTAGTCCAATGTCTGTGGAGAAACTGAGGCCCAGATAAGAAAAGTGCAGGGTTCAATTTCATATAGTCAATTTTAACAGAATAAGGACAAGAATCAGGGTTGAGACAAGAGCCAGCTTTCCAGACCTGGTCTGGTATATTCATGATGTTAATTCCCTTGGCTATACCTTCCCTTTCCCTATACAGAAAATGTGGAATCTAGGATCTAGGATCTCTAAACTCTACAGCATCCTATTCTTCTTCAGTGAAGTCACCCCCTGATGTTATCATTTCTGCTCTAAAGCCAACCAGACCATCCTTCCTTTCATGTTGTTGTTTTTTGTTTTGTTTTGTTTTGTTTTTCTGCTGTGAGTAGCCTGACCAGACCCCTGGCTTGGAGGGCTCAGGCCTGAGCCCCCAGCACTGCCCTGAAGACCAGGACTAGCCTGGTGTGCTGGTATGCAGGCCTTGCTCTCCCAGCATGGGCCCTGCCCAGCCATGCTGATCACCAATAAAGCTTTAACCATACCTGCAAAAAGATAGATAACACTTTTTCAGTATTTACTGTTGGATAGGTACTCTTCTATATAATTTATATAGATTATTTTACTGCATCTTCACAACATCCCTGTGAATTTGAGTATTCTTGTTATTATCTACATTTTAAAGATATAGAGCTTAAGCATGACTTTTCTAATACCCCAGGGCTAGTGAGTAGTAGGGCAAGGATTCAAATTCAAGTAGTCTAGCGGGCTGTGCTCTTAATACCCTTAATTGCCTAAAATACTTCTTTGATTAGATTTTACTCACTCCAATCTCAGGATAGGTAGTAAGATAGAATGGAAACAGAGCCCAAGGTAACTACACTACAAGATTATAGATCATAAAGATGGGCAGGCAGAGTGAGACAGAGTAAATTCCAGGAAAGGAGTATCAGAACAGAGAAACTGGAACTGAAGCTTGAAAGAGCTTGATAATTCAACAGATTCCAAGAAGTAGCCTATATTTCCCAGGTCTTGAGTATATATCATGGCTAAAAGCCTATTAGAGGTGATGTGTGTACTGAACTTCTGCTTTTATTCTGGGGGTGGGATTCACCATCATCCCAAGGCAAGACTGGACTTTGCTTCCAATATTGAGGTATTTTCTTCACATTGCATACCCCAATGTGGTCATTATTGTCATTAATGTTGGGGAAAGGAATTTGCAGGAGCCTGGGACCTGACCATCTCTTTTGCCTGCCTCTCCCTTGGCCATTCAACCCCCCTTACCACCAGTAGCTGGGGCAGCCCCAGCCAGATGCACAGACATGATTCTAGAAAGGAACTCCTTTTCTCTCCCACACCCTAGTCTCAGCTTGGGGAGTGGTCAGACCCAAAATGTGATAAACTCCAAAAGCCTTATCTGTGGTCTGCAGGCTCAGCCCCAAGCACTTTAGCCTTTGCAGGCAGGCAGGAGAAGGGAAACTCATATATCCAGATATGAGGGAGGCATCAAATTCAATTCAGTACCTACCATATGAGGTAGACATAAGTATCTTACATTTGACTACTGATGAAAGCTGAGACCCAAAGAGGGGAAGTAACTTTCCAAGTACGTCCAATAAGGAGTTAAAGAGCTGGAACCGAAATAAGAAAAGCTAACATTTTCTTTTAGGCATTTTCCCAAAATCTTAACATGGGTTTCATTTAGTCTTTTCAATACCACTTGGCCTTTCCCAATTTCAAGATCCATATACCCTACTCCATACACCAACCTATGCTCTTATGACAGCCTGTGAGAGTGGGAGGGAGGATACTCTGCGATGGAACAAGCAAGGGAAAGAGGTTGCTTTGTGAGTTAGGAGGAGGGTGTTTGCTCTGTGAGATCTAGAAGGGAGGGGTATAGCTCAGTAAGAGATGAAGGATATTGCCATATAATAACATGGCATGAGCTCCTCCTGTTCACTTGTCCCTCAAAACATAAGGCCTTAAATAGTAGAGGTGTTGTTGGGTTCTACTCAGTAGCTCTCCTGGTGGTGGCAGGCCCTTAGTCTTCAAACATTCCTCCATATTTCCCCTATTATCCTGTCCCATATTTTGGCCCACTCTCTGATGCTGGATGCTGTGCTTTTTCTTTTAATCTACTTCTCCCTCTTGTTATCTGTAGCTCTCTTTCCTTTTACATCTCTCATTCCTCCCTCATCCCAACCCCCAATGCCCCTTAGCCACCTCTCTGTCTCTATCCTTTGATCTTATCTCTACTCCCTTCCCCCTGTCACTCAGTCTCACTTTCATCTCTCTCAGTAGGGAGGGCCAATTCCTCTTCACCTAACTCTTCTTTGTTGTTCTTCTCCATCTCCACAGTCTCTGATAGAATTTCTCCTTTACCTTTGTGCTGACTGACTCTCTATTCCTGCTGGATTCTCTCCTCTCCTGCTCCTAGTTTTCTGAGTCTTTGTATATTTCTGCATGTTCCTTGATTTTTGCCTCATATCCCTTTTTTGTCCTTCTGTCTATCTGTTTCTAACTCTACTTCTGCTCTGTTACTCAATTCCTCTCCTCCATCCTTTTCCTCTCCTCTCTACTCTTTTGTCTTCTTTTTCATTCTCTTTGTCTCATCTCAGTCTCTTTCCCTGCCTCCTGTATTTTCCATCATCCTCTTGTCCTCTGTTTTATGGATCAGTCATCTTCTTCCTGTTCTTATCTCTACCTGTCCCCTTTCCTTCTGGCTTTGATCTTTCTCTCTCCTGCAATTTCTATTGTTCTAACTCCATCACTACCATTGCACCTTTGTTTTCTATTACTTTCTGCCTTTTATCTTTCTTAACTTTTCATTTCTTATGCCTCTTTCCATATTCTTTTCCCTTTGAGTTCCTGCTCATTCATTAATTTACTCCCCAATTCAATAAACATTTATTGAATAAATATTTAATAAATTCAATAAATACTTATTTAAATTCAATAAATATTTATTGAATAAATTTGGATAAAATAGTCAATGAATATCCATTTTAGCCTCTGCCTCTTTCATTCACCAATAGATGTTTCCCAGATCCCTTGGGGCTTGGCTTGTTATCACCTATATCTCTACTTATGCTTTTCCAAAATCCAGGAGCAAATCCAAAGATAGTAACATACCAGTCTGGTGGGACATGTACTCTTTCATTCTATTTCTTGAATCTACTTAACTTGGTACCTGTGGCCTCAAGCTTGTCTCTCTGGCTGGGCCTGCTCAGGAAAGACTCCTAGCCAAGCCTCAGGAGCCCTGGTCAATGGCATCTGTCTGCATTAGCAGGTTGAATCTTCATTTGGCTGAGGCCAATATTCTTAGAAAAAGTCTTAGCCTTAAGTGTTGATCAAAGGGTTGGTGGGTTGTCAACTCTTATCCTACCACACACAATCATACTTCAGTGATAGGTACCATCACAGAGTGGGTCAGTAGACAAGTCTAAAACAATCAGAATTCAGGCTTTCTTACCTCCAGTGGGAACTCATTTCTTTACCTCTTTGGTCTAATGATCAGTTTCCTGTTTCTTCTTCTCAGATGCCCCATTGGTACATTTTAAGATTGGGAAATTTCTTACCCTGAAATAACAGTAAAGGCATTTCTGGGGAGGGGAGTAAGAATTAGGTGAGAAGCTAAAGGCAAAGTATCAAATATAAGAATGACCCTTGGCTTTTGGCCAGGCCTTCATAGTGGAATCTCATCTCTTCCACATCTTATGCAGAACTTCAGGCTCGAGATGGTGACAGCAGCCATGTTGCTACAGCGCTGCCCAGTGCTTATCCGGAGCCCCACAGGCCTCCTGGGTAAGATGATTAAGACTCACCAGTTCCTGTTTGGTATTGGACGTTGTCCCATTCTGGCCACCCAAGGACCAAGTTGTTCTCAAATCCACCTTAAGGCAACCAAGGCTGGAGCGGGTAAGAAGTCACTGCTGTCAAATGGGGGAAAATGTCTGGGTCCTAGAGATAAGACTCCAAGTCATACTGGTCATCGTTACCTAATAACTGGGAGGGTTCGTGTGAAAAGTGTCAAAGAAGAATAAGCTGACCTAAAAATACACCTCACTTCTGACTTATGTCAGTATCTCTAAAAAGAGTCTCATTCTCATGCACCTCACATTCTATATACTCCAGTCATGCTAAAACTACTTAAAATTGTCTGGATTAACTATCATTTTAAGTTCCTATGTCTTTGCTCCTGCCAAATAACTCTGTCCCATTATCTTTTCCAGAGCATCTCAAACTTCTCATGTAACATTTAACTTGGACACCATCTCCTCTCTGAAGCCTGCCTAGACTTCCAGCCTGTCTAATTACAATTCTGGGTCATGTCCCTTCCCTCTTCTAGCCCATGTCTTCCCTCCTATCCCAGCACTGTTCATAATGTGTCTTCAGTATGTGCCATTCCCAACAACTTAGGAACTCCCTTAGCACAGGGACCAGATACATCCATCTCTGTGTCTCTACCATAGCCTGAGATAGAGCTTTTAGATACAGTACATCTCAGTGACCATTGTTAAATTTACAGCTAGAAACTTATAGCTAGAAGTTCACTACCACTTACTCTCTTTGCATAGATTCTCCATCTTGGGCCAAGAGCCACTGTCCCTTCATGCTGTTGGAACTCCAGGATGGGAAGAGTAAAATTGTGCAAAAAGCAGCCCCAGAAGTCCAGGAAGACGTGAAGATTTTCAAGACAGGTTGGAGTTAAGTTCCACTTCATCTAACATCTACATCTAATGCTTGATTTCATTTTATCATGGTCCTGAGCTAGGCTAATCCAAAGGCAACTGGTACACATTCCCTGATGGAAGTCTAGTCTTTTCTAGAAGAACCATGGTAGGCAATAGCTTAAACTGTGCACTGAAATTCACCCTCCCCAACACCTATGCATGCTTCTATAACTTTTAGCTATTAGTCTAAAATGAGCCTGTTAGAGTTCTGCCTCCTCTCTCCCAAGTGACTAAATGGATTCCAACAGGCTGGGCTCCCACATATAAGCAACGCTACTCTATGACAATCTGGATTTGCATGAAAGAGTAAGTTTTGGAAGTAGGTACATTCTCTAGATGAGTATTGAGGTCAGGTCAATTCAATTGATGCAAACCATTCAAGATAATCACACTTGAGAGTTGGCCATACTGTCAACATCTTTCACAGAACTTTGTGGGATATAATTAAGAGTAAAATTTTCATTTTTTTTTCCTTTTTTATTTACTTTTTTTCCATTTATTTTTATTAGTTGGAGGCTAATTACTTTACAATATTGTAGTGGGATGGGGAACACATGTAAATCCATGACTGATTCGTGTCAATGTATGGCAAAAATTTTCAAAATTGAATTCTAATGACTTAAAGAAAAGAAGAGTAAGGGACACTATCCTGCATATATCTTTCGATTCGTGTCAATGTATGGCAAAAATTTTCAAAATTGAATTCTAATGACTTAAAGAAAAGAAGAGTAAGGGACACTATCCTGCATATATCTTTCAAGTGCAAGACTCAGCATGGCTGCTCCAGTTATCTCACCCAAGGAAAGTCCTAGTGAAGAAAAGTGTAATTCACCTTATGAATGGTTTCATGACATGTAAGTTTCCACTTGGGGAGATGAGAAAAAGCTTACTTTTCAGAATATTTCTTCTCTCTGTTCAAGGCTTCTCTACTTCCTAACCTTGAATTTATATATGTTGTATTGAGTTTAAAGAAGACAGCACATTCTTTCTTTCCCTCCCCTCCCTCTCTTCATGGCCACTGGATCCCATACTCCCTCTCAGACTTGCCCATCTCTCTGGCCTCAACCAGCCTGAGGAAGCCATTCTCCAGTCCCCAAGAGCCAGAGAAAAATTCAGAGAAGGTCACACACCTGATTCAGAACAACATGGCTGGTGAGTTTGCTGAGGTGGAAGTAAAAGGGGGTAGGAATATGGAAGGAATGATGAAATGCTGTGCACTGACACAGAAGAGGAAATGGCAAAGAATTACTTTAGAGCCCAGGGGAGTCTGAGTTTAAATTTTAATGCTGGAACTTGCTGGATCTGCATGCTTTGGAAAGTAAGTCATATACTTGCAGTGAGATTTTAATACCTCAACAAGTTATTACAAGAAGGAAATAAAATTACACCTACAGAAGTGCCTCTAACTTGTTATGAAGTTTCATTAAATATTAGATGTATTCCTATCATTTCTTCTCCATGCTTCCCTCAGAAATACTCATCCTTCACAGAGAACTTTTCCCCTTATCTTATGTGTGTTTATAATAATTTTTCATAACAGAATTTGTTTTATTTTCCCAATACAAAATGAATATAAAGAGGGAAATTTAAATCAGAGCTCCACCATCCACCATTAATTTTTTTCTTATATTTTTTCCAGATATTTTCCTATGACTGAACACACACGTACAAAACTACACTTCCCTCCACATACATGTTTTTATTCGAAATGTGATCTCATTCCAGCTCCAGTTTGTTCTTGTTCTTTGTTCATTTACCAATATGTCATGGGCATTATTCCATGTCCCTAAACATAGAGCTGCATAATAATTATAAATGATTGAATTGTGTTCTGCAGCATGAATGCAACATCATTTAATCAACCAAGCATCTTCATGTAATTATACCAATTTTTGTGTGTATTCTTCCACTTTATATTGTATGTTGGTTTTACATACATATAAATGTACCCAAAGATTATATATAGTGTTCTTAGACTATATATGGCTATACTAGAAACTAGTTAGCTATTCCTCAATTGGGTTGCTTCCAGTTTTTTCTCTTATAAACAGTGGTGCAACAAACATCCTTGAATGTACCTCTTCATGTAGATAGGTAAATGTTTCTCTACAGTAGACACTAAGAGGTGGAAATCTCAGGATGTGAAGGTGTACACATTTTCAATATTAATAAATATTGCCAACTGGTCCTCCAAAGTGGTGTACTAATTATCAAAGAGAATCCATATTCTCACACACTCTCCAGCACTTGAAAGTATCAAACTTTTAAATCTCTATCAATTTGATGAGTGAAAAATTGTTTTTGCAGTTGATTTTCCCTGATTAAGCATCTTTTTACTACATTTATTGAATGGTATAGTTATATTCTTTGCCCACTTTTCTATTGGGTTAAAATTTTACATAATAATTTTCAGAGTTTCTAAAACATAAATTCTGGATATCAAGTTTTGTGCTAAACATGCTGCAAATATTTCCCTAGGTATGTCAGCATGTGCATTTTGAAAACTCTTGGTACATAGTTCCAAACATCCCTGCAGCAAAGATGTTACTAATGTACACTCCTACCATATAAGTTGCCATCTGCAAACAATGATTTCTGTCTCATGGATAGAGTTCTGGAGCTTAACAAGCCTGGTGGCATACATTATATTTCAGTCTTAAAAATAAGGTTGCTCCATTTTGTAGTGGTTAAAGAAGTAGACTATTCCTCATTTGTAAAATGGAGATGCTAATAGAAATTTCCACATAGCATTATTATAAAGAATAAATGAAATGATATCTATAAAGTTACTAAGAGAGGGTATTACATGTGAGAGGCACTTATTAAATGTTGGTTATAATAATATTATTTAAAATTATTATTCTTACTACTACTACTACTACTATACTACTGTATTACAATAGCCACAATAATAGTACTATGTGCCAGATATTAGATTGGATGTATTACATTCTGTTTGTCATCAGATGGTCATAATTCTGCAATGAAGATATTATTAGCCCCATTTTATAGGTGAGGAAATTAAGACTAAGAGGATTCATGACTTGCCAATATTACACAACTAGGAAGTAGCAGAACTATGACTAGAACTAGACCCATCAACACTCTTCCCACTGAAACTTGAGGTGGTACTTCTGGAAGGAGGGTGCCATACTAACCTTGGGAAAAGAAATGAGGCCATGCAAGGGGTAGGAGGCCTGAGTTAATGTATAATAAGTGAATGAGTCAGTGAGTAAGCAAAGGGATGGTTGAATTAAATAGTAGAGCAGTAATGTGACCCAGTAAGTTAATGACTGATTAAATAAATGAATAAATGGAAAGAGAACTGGAGAACTCCAAATCAATTGCATTAAATAAAATATGGACTAGCCAGGAAGTAATTTAAAATGAATTCTTTTCATCCCCATCTCTACTCCCACAGGAGACCATGTCTTTGGTTATGACCAGTTTTTTAAGGACAAAATCATGGAGAAGAAACAGGACCACACCTATCGTGTTTTCAAGACTGTGAATCGCTGGGCTGATGCATACCCCTTTGCTGAACACTTCTTTGAGGCATCTGTGGCCTCAAAGGATGTGTCTGTCTGGTGCAGTAATGACTACCTGGGCATGAGCCGGCACCCTCGGGTCTTGCAAGCCACACAGTGAGTACTAGGGTCTGAGCCTTGATGAGCCCACAGGGAGATAACCAGAGAAGAGCCAAAGCCACACATAGAAGGAAAAGGCAGAGCTGACGGTGGAAACCTGGGTTCCACCCAACACCCCTTTTGTCTTGAGCTCTTTCAACAAATCTAATCCTTGGACAGGAACTAAGTCAACAAGCTTAGTTTTCCAAAATATTTGGTGTCCAGTGCTACAAAGAAGAGGATGAGAAATCGAACAAGTTGCACTCTCCATGAATTCTGACTCTGGCTACAGAATGAGTATTACCAGAGATGGTGTGCAACCTCCTCTAAAAGATCTTCCAAGCTAGTCAAGACCAATCTAGCTTCTTCTTCTCTCCCTGAGTGCTTTCAGCCTAAGAAGGAATGTCCATTTCTCCCCATTGGCCCCATACTGACCTCTACTTTGTCATATAGGACACAACTCTAGAGAATCATTAAGTTAATATTGACCCCTATCAACGAAGAGAAATCTACACAGTTTATCAGTATCTGACAAGAGTTTCTTCTCCTTGTCTCCCCTGTTTTCTCCTGGCCAGAGAGACTCTGCAGCGCCATGGAGCTGGAGCTGGTGGCACCCGCAACATCTCGGGTACCAGTAAGTTCCATGTAGAGCTGGAGCAAGAGCTGGCTGAGCTGCACCAGAAGGACTCAGCCCTGCTCTTCTCTTCCTGCTTTGTGGCCAATGACTCCACTCTCTTCACCTTGGCCAAGATCTTGCCAGGTAAGCCCAGAGCCAAAACTTTGTTCAGGGCTAGTATTCTGCATCCAGGCTTACTGTCTCCATCAGCCCTTCCCTGTCTTTTGAGTTCATTTGCTCCCATTGCCCTTTGTTCTTACCCACCCTGCATACCCTCAACACTGGATGACTACATCCTAACCTCACTGAAGGGTAACATCATAAATTTGTCATTTCCTAACTCAAATGAACTCAACACTTATAAACAGTCCTTTTATATTCCTATATCAGCTTTTTCAAACTTTCTTTCCCCTTCTAAAACCTGTGTCTACCTTCTCCTTCACTCTTAGCAAATAATCTCACATCTTACAACACAAATAAAACAGAAGCCACCAAACAGGAGGTCCCTTAACTTATAGCCACTAAACCCACAAATTTATCTCACTGTTCATCTACCCTTTTTCATTCTTTCCTTTTACAAATTGAAGACACATGTCTCCTTTTGCCTGAAGCTAATTCCTTCACTTGTACACCAGATCTCATCCGAAACCCATCTTCCCACTCTCACATCCTCTAACCAGTAATGTCCTCATCTCATATGCCTGCCATTCTTCCATCATAGCCCAATCCCAGATAAATGCAACTCTCCACCTTCTCTGTGTCAATACTGATATTATATAATTACTTAGATGGGAGCCACTAATAATTCATTCCCCAACCTCTACTGTCCTCTATGCTTTCTGGCAATTCTGTTTCCATAGTCAGCCCTCCAAGTCACCAAGGAAACTTTGCCAAACCCCATTCTCTTCAGCTTTCTTACACCTCCACCTCACCTCCACCCACAGCAGATTACTTCATCTCCTACCACACAGAAAACAGAAGACCCTAGGCAGCAATGTCCGCAACTTCTTGCCTCAAACTACCTATAAACTCATGAGCATTCCCACATGGCCTCTTTTCATTCTTTATCTCCTGCCACTATAGAAGAGGTGCCATTTTTCTTGTTGACTAATTCTTACATCAGTACTCTGTGCGTCCTCTACCTCATCAGGAATCTTGATCTATGAGTTCCCTCTCTCCTTCCTGTATCTTTAGCCTCTCCTGCTCTTTAAACATGCTGAAGTCTCTTGCATCTCAAAAAATTTTTTTCCTCTTCACTCTCTAGTTACTGCCATTCTGTCTCCTCCTTATAACAGGCAAACTGCTTGAGAAAAGACTCCACACTTGCTACCCATTTCCTCACTTCTTGAAAAAATTTCAGCACACTATAAACATCTCTACTGCTTCTTAGAAACTTTTTTCAAGACCACACATAACCCCAACTCAAGCTAATATCTTTGGAAATGTCTTCAGTGAACTCCTTCAGCCATTAGAATTCAACTTCTTTTCATTTCCTCTGCCACCATCCTAAGACCAACATCATTTTCCTGATTTCACCTTTGCCTTCCTACAACATATTCTTCACAAGAACCAGATGATATTTTAAAAATAAAAGCCCATCTTTGTTATTCCTCTGCCCCAAACCCTTTAATAGATTCCCGCTGCCCTTCTCTTTATCATGCCTTCTAAAAGCCTTCAATAATCTGGCCTCTACCTACCTCTTCAGGCTCATCTTTTGACACCTCTCCTCACATTCTTTCATTCAGTAATATACTAATTCACATACTCATTCACTCACTTAAAATTCAGTAATTCTGTTTTTTTAATCCATTCATTCAAAAAAGGTTTGCTTAACATCTACTGTACTTAGCCTTAATCTGGGTACCAGAAACAGAAAGATAAAAAGTTGTGGCCCCTGCTCCCAAGAAACTTCCAGTCTACTTATCTTTCACAGCAGGTTCTCCAGGAAGTCATGCCTGATTTCCACAGGTAGAAGTGATCCCTTACTCTAATATAAGGCCACAATTCCTTGATGTCAGTGCAGGTTCAGGGGCCCAGGAATCAATTCCATCTGCCAATTTCCCACCTCTACTTGTTCCCCACCACTGTCCAGTAAAAAGCCCTGGATTCCTCAGGTCCTAGACAAAAAGTCTCCCCTTCTTTAGACTTAGCTTCCTCACTTATACATTAAAGTGACTAGATTCCATGGTCATCAATTGCCCTTCTAGCTCTGACTTGTAATGAGGTTATGATTCACACTGTGAAAGTCTAAGTATCTACCCTGTAACTATGAGCAGAAATATGCTATCTGGAAAAGGTGGGATTTCATCTAAATCAGGAAGAATATATCATCAGTCCAAGTTAACAAACATTCCCTGGGATAAACTTCTTTCTAAGGCTTAATCTTGGTGTCTGGGAATAGGAATGTAAGCCCTGTTCTCAGGAAACTCTAGAGCATTCTTGGAAAATTTAAATTTCCTCCACCCCAAGAGAACCAAACTCCAATCCAGGGTTAAAATGCCTGGAGAGAAGAGTGTAGGGGCCAGAATTTCAGGGCAGAGGAGTTCTTCCAAAAGAGGAAGAGGTGTTACAAAGGCTTCTGGAGGAGAGAGAAGCTGAGCAGAGGCTTCAAATGGAGGAAAGGATTAGCTCTTTGCTCCTGCCAAGTCAATCTTGAAGTTGAAATGTGAATACTGGGATAGAAGCTTAAGCATTATGCATCTGGTTCTTCAGGGTGCGAGATTTACTCGGATGCAGGCAACCATGCTTCCATGATCCAAGGTATCCGCAATAGTGGAGCAGCCAAGTTTGTCTTCAGGCACAATGACCCTGACCACCTGAAGAAACTTCTAAAGAAGTCCAACCCTGAGACACCCAAAATTGTGGCCTTCGAGACTGTTCACTCCATGGATGGTAAGCATATGTGTGAGTGCATGTTTACTAACATTGGTCTCACAAAAACAAAGATGATAATGATAATAACTAACATTTATAGAATGTTTATTATGTGCCAAGCAAAATTATTAGTATTTCACATGTATTAATTCACTTAATCTTCACAAAAATTCTGAGGTAAGTGCTCTTATTATTTCTATTTCTATGAGGAAACTGAGACACAAAGAAGTGAAATGACTTGCCCAAGATCACATAGCCAGTAAATGCCAAAGGATGGAGACAGCTATTACACTGATTTCAAAGTTTAAGAAAATGAAGCACAGAGAGAGTACCCAAGTTACCTTGGCTGGCTCAGTAAACTGGTGCCAAAGTGTGTATCTGAACCCTAGGATGTATGAGTCCAATTCCTTCATACGATTCTCCTTCCATTAGAAATGATGTGCAGATCAATCATCCCAGTGTCTGGTTCCTGCAGCAAAAATTTTCACAAACCAGTACCTGGGAGACTTTTTAGGGTCCAATATGTAGCACTGGAAATCAAAACAGGTTTTCAAGTCAGACAGATCTTGGTTCAAGTCCTACCTCTAGCACTTACCAGCTCAGTGACCTTGGGTAACTCTTAACTCTCTGAACTTCAGCTTTCCTCAAGGTAAAATATCTGCTTGAAAGAAATGATGGAAGACATTCTATTTATCATGATCTAAGTAGAAATAAATCACCTTTATCACCCTACATCTTTCCTTTCCCCAACTGAAACAATGCTCAAATCACTGTATTGTTGTCCCTCTTAGGCAGAAATTGTCTATTTTAGGCATAATCTTCTGGGTTTATTAAAGTGAAGAGATCCTCAATTCGTTTCAATTTGTCACTTTTCCAAGTGAAACAAAGGAGAGTCCACTCTGATTTAGCCAGTGTAAGTGCCATCACATCAAGTAATGGTGATGCACAAGCTTTTGAACTAAACTATCCATGTTCAAATCCCAGCATGACAACTTACTAGCTTGGACAAGTTTCTTAATTGCTGTGTCTCAGTTGCCTTATCTTTAAAAATTGAGATGATAATTAATAGAGTGACAGAGTATTTAAGTGAGTGAATATATATAAAAACTTACTGTCATGCCCTCATCCACATTTCTACAACCAGCAATGATCATATTTCTACCACTGAGACTACTCTAAATCATTATTTCTGTAGTGAAAACCAGAAACAATGAATGTTGGGACCATTCTACTTCCTTACATTTGCAAATGAATGGTTCTTTATTTAGTGAATGGTGGAAACCCTGCCAAAACTGTCAACTTAGGGCTGAATTCCTCCATTGAAATGATGCTTGAACTATTACACTGTCCTCTTAGTCTTGGACTACAACTCTTGTGGTTTTCTCCCCTCCTGTTGTCCCACCAGCTGCTCACAAACTTTAATCCTAGCCTGGAGCCCCTGTTCCCACATGAAGAAGTTTCTGTTGTATTCCACTTCCCTGCACCATTAGTTTCCAGGAATGGGGACTGAGAGATGTATGGGTTCTTGTATATGTAGAGTGGTCACAAAATCTGTGCATGAAATTCACAGACATTTGAAGACCTTATAAACAATTATCATCATAGAATAACAGGGGAAAATGGTAAATCTGCATGGAAAATGTACAGGAACATACAGATTACTTCTAATTCACTTTCATTCAATACATTGAGACTGAGTCTATGGGAGGGTACCCTCAGGTAACAACACTGACAGAGATGAGAAACAAATATATTCCTATAGACACAGAAAAGACAGAAACAGAGGCACAAAGAAACTCAGAAAGAGACAGAGATACAGAGAAAAAAGTCTAAAGTCAGAAAGGTAGACATGAAGGGATACAAACAATAAGAAACAGAGAACAGAAGTGAGGAGGAAGGTGAGTGAAGGAAGGAGGGATAGAGACACTGACAAAGAGACAGAGGAAGAGGGGAGAGGAGAGAAAAAAACAAAGACAGAGATAGAAAATAGAGACACAGAAAGAAAGTTGGAAATAGCCATAAAAAGAGAGAGTGGCAAAAAGTCAGAAAGATAGAAATATGGAAGACCAGTGAAAAAACAATATTGACACAGCTGACAATAGCACTTGGCAGAGAGGGTGAGTGAGATCTGAAAACATTAACCTGGAGCAAAAGGAGAATTTTTTTAAATTTATTTAAACAAAGGCATCATGTAGGCTAGTGCCAATCATTGATGGAAATACACAGACTTGTGAGGGGTGGAAAGGCAGAGAGAGGCTGGCAAATAGCATAAACAAGAGGACAGATATCATCAGAATGAAGTAAAAATAGAAAGACAGAAAAGTAAACCTTAATCACAGGCTGGGGAAAATGCACACACACACAACTTGGGTAAGAGTATGGTGAACTCAATCAACACATATGAAGAAGTCTGGCATAGCCCCAACTAAGGGTGCATACCCTCCCCCTTTCCCAACCTATAGTTGTTATGCACCACAAATTCCATGCTGGAGATGGAGCTGGAGAAGTGTTATGATCTACCTCTATTCATGACTTTGCTCAGGTGCCATCTGTCCCCTTGAGGAATTGTGTGATGTGGCCCACCAGTATGGAGCTCTGACCTTCGTGGATGAAGTTCATGCTGTAGGGCTGTATGGGTCCCGGGGTGCTGGGATTGGGGAGCGTGATGGAATTATGCACAAGATTGACATCATCTCTGGAACTCTTGGTGAGTGAGTCCCTTGGGTTACCCTTATATACAATCCAGAAAGGAAGTCCCTAGAAGAACATTTTCTTCCTCCTCCACAAAGTTGCAAAAGTTATTTGCGTAGAATTTATGGCCCAGGCTATAGAACACTTGGATTCTCTCCTCCCACTCCCATCACACTGAAAAATTGCTGATAAAGTCTGGAAGATTTTTTGAGAAGACCCTTGAGCTGGGCCAAATTACCAAGTTCAACTCAATAAGTGGAGTTGTGGATCAAAACTCCTTCCCCACCCCAGTTCCAAGCTCCATTTAGCTCTACTTTTGGATCTAACCAGTTGAAGGTCCCCACCCAGCTCCTGCTTATCTAGTCATTACACACGGCAGGGCTTGCAAGTCTTATCGCAAAGCAGCACAACTATCAGCTCTGTCTGCTTGTCACAGACAAGAAACATGATAAGGGACTCTGGAGCTCCAGCTTCTAGTGTACTGCCGTGAGTTACCCTGTTCCTCAGGGGGCTGATAATGGGATCTGTGCATAACCTCTTCATTCTCCTCCTTGTCTCCAGGCAAAGCCTTTGGCTGTGTGGGTGGCTACATTGCCAGCACCCGTGACTTGGTTGACACAGTACGTTCCTATGCTGCTGGCTTCATCTTCACCACTTCACTGCCTCCCATGGTGCTCTCCGGAGCTCTGGAATCCGTGCGACTACTCAAGGGAGAGGAGGGCCAAGCCCTGAGAAGGGCCCACCAACGCAATGTCAAGCACATGCGTCAGCTACTAATGGACAGGGGCCTTCCTGTCATCCCATGCCCCAGCCACATCATCCCCATTCGGGTGAGAGTCCTACATTGCCCATTGCTGTCTCCACCATCTCTCCTGGGAGCCTTCCCACACTCAGCAAACTGAAACCTGTTCCTGCCAACTGTTTTCTTGTTAGCCATCCTCCTTATCATCAGTTTTCTTTCACTTTTGGAAAATTATCAGTCATTCTGGATTAACTAGTCTTTTCTTTTTTTTTTCTTAGCTATTATCTCATGGTTAGTAGACTGTCCTGTTCCTTGGGCTAGTTCAGTGTTCCTTTGAAACACTACTTTTGCAAATATGTTTAATTAACCCAGTGACAACACCCCAGAAGTTGCTTGGGGTTTTATCTTCTTACTCAGAACTACCCCAAATTAACATACTAGCTAAGTATGCTTCCTCTACAAACAGCTTCAAGACAAGGTCCCTAGAAGCACTTCTACCCCATTTAATTTTTAAATTGAAGTATAGTTGACTTGGGGCTTTCTTGGTAGCTCAGCTGGTAAAGAATCTGCCTCCACTGCAGAAGGTCCCGGTTCAATTGCTGGGTCTGGAAGTTCTCCTGGAGAAGGGATAGGCTACCCACTCCAGCATTCCTGGGCTTTCCTGATGGCTTAGATAGTAAAGAATCTGGGTGCAATGAGGGAGACCTAGGTTCAGTCCCTGAATTGGGAAAATCCCCTGGAGGAGGGCATGGCAACCCACTCCAGTATTGTTGCCTGGAGAATCCCAACGGACAGAGGAGCCTGGCAGGCTACAGCCCATGGGGTCACAAAGTATTGGACAAAACTGAGCTAATAAGCACAGCACAGTGTATAGTTGACTTACAATACTGTGTTAGTTTCAAGTGTACAGCAAAATGATTCAGTTACATTTTTTTCCAGATTATTTTCCATTAGTTCACTGTGTTATATAGTAAATCCTTGTTGCTTATCTATTTTATGGGTAGTAACTTTTATCTGTTAATCCCATCAGTTCAGTTCAGTTTAGTCATTCAGCAGTGTCTGACTCTTTGTGACCCCATGGACTGCAGCATGCCAGGCTTCCCTATCCATCACTAACTCAAACTCATGTTCATTGAGTGGTGATGCCATCCAACCATCTCATCCTCTGTCATTACCCTTCTCCAACAGCCTTCAATCTTTCCCAGCATCATGGTCTTTGCAAATGACTCAGTTCTGCGCATCAGGTGGCCAAAGTATTGGAGTTTCATGTTCAGCATCAGTTCTTGCAACGAATATTCAGAACTGATTTCTTCTAGGATGGACTGGTCTGATCTCCTTGCTGTCTAAAGGACTCTCAAGAGTCTTCCCCAACACCACAATTTGAAAGCATCAATTCCTTGGCGCTCAGCTTTCTTTATAGTCCAACTCTCACATTCATTCATGACTACTGGAAAAAACAAAGTTTTGACTAGACAGACATTTGTTGGCAAAGTGATGTCTCTGCTTTTTAATATGCTGTCAGGTTGGTCACAGCTTTTCTTCCAAGGAGCAAGCATCTTTTAATTTATGGCTGCAGTCACCATCTGCAGCAATTTTGGAGCCCCAATAAATAAAGTCTGTCACTGTTTCCATTGTTTCCCCATCTATTTGCCATGAAGTCATGGGACCAGATGCCAAGATCTTAGTTTTCTGAAAGTTTGGTTTTAAGCCAAAATTTTCACTCTCTCCTTTCACTGTCATCAAGAGGCTCTTTAGTTCTTCTTTGGTTTTTTTTTTTTTTTTTTTTTTTGCCGTAAGGGTGGTGCTATCTGCATATCTGAGGTGATTGATATTTCTCCTGGAAATCTTGATTCCAGCTTGTTCTTCTTCCAGCCCAGCATTTAGACAGCCTTGACTTACTCCTTTCCCGATTTGGAGCTAGTCTGTTGTTCCATGTCCAGTTCTAACTATTGCTTCTTAACCTGCATACAGATTTCTCATGAGGCAATTCAGGTAATCTTGTTTTCCCATCTCTTGAAGAATTTTCCACAGTTTGTTGTGATCCACACAGTCAAAGGCTTTGGTGTAATTAATATAGCAGAAGAGGATGTTTTTCTGGAACTCTCTCACTTTTTCGATGATCCAACAGATGTTGGCAATTTGATCTCTGGTTCCTCTGCCTTTTCTAAATCCAGTTTGAACATCTAGAAGTTTATGGTCCACATACTGTTGAAGCCTAGCTTGAAGAATTTTGAGCATTACTTTTTTAGTGTGTGAGATGAGTGCAATTGTGCAGTAGTTTAAGCATTCTCTGGCAATGCTTTTTTAGGGGGATTGGAATGAAAACTGACCTTTTCCAGTCCTGTGGCCACTGCTGAGTTTTCCAAATTTGCTGACAGATTGAGTGCAGCACTTTCACAGCGTCATCTTTTAGGAATTGAAATAGCTTAACTGGAATTCCATCACCTCCATTAGCTTTGTTCATAGTGATGCTTCCTAAGGCCCACTTGACTTCACATCCCAGGATGTCTGGCTCCAGGTGAGTGATCACACCATCATGACTATCTGGGTTGTGAAGATCTTTTTTGTACAGTTCTTCTGTGTATTCTTCTTAATATCTTCTGCTTCTGTTAGGTCCATACCATTTCTGTCCTTTATTGTGCCTATCTTTGCATGAAATGTTCCCTTGGTATCTCTAAGTTTCTTGAAGAGATCTCTAGTCTCTCCCATTCTGTTGTCTTCCTCTATTTCTTTGCATTGATCACTGATGGTTTTTTTTTTTTAATCTCTCCTTGCTCTTCTTTGGAACTCTGCATTCAAATGGGAATATCTTTCCTTTTCTCCTTTGCTTTTCACTTCTCTTCTTATCACAGCTATTTGTAAGGCCTCCTCAGACAACCATTTTGTCTGTTTGAATTTCTTTCTCTTGGGGATGGTCTTGATCCCTGTCTGCTGTACCATGTCATGAATCTCTGTCCATAGTTCTTCAGGCACTCTGTCTATCAGATCTAATCCCTTGAATCTATTTCTCACTTCCAATGTATAATTATTAGGGATTTGATTTAGGTCATACCTGAATGGTCTAGTGGTTTTCCCTACTTTCTTCAATTTAAGTCTGAATTTGGCAATAAGGAGTTCATGATCTGAGCCACAGTCAGCTCCCAGTCTTGTTTTTGCTGCCTGTGTAGAGCTTCTCCATCTTTGGCTGCAGAGAATATAATCAATCTGATTTCAATGTCGATCATCTGGTGATATCCATGTGTAGAGTCTTCTCTTGTGTTGTTGGAAGAGGGAATTTGCTATGACCAGTGCATTCTCTTGGCAAAACTCTATTAGCTGTTGCCCTGCTTCATTCTGTCCTCCAAGGCCAAATTTGCCTGTTAGTCCAGGTGTTTCTTGACTTCCTACTTTTGCATTCCAGTCCCCTATAATGAAAAGAACATATTTTTTGGGTGTTCATTCTAGAAGGTCTTGTGGTCTTCATAGAACCATCCAACTTCAGATTATTCAGCATTAATGGTTGGGGCATAGACTAGGATTACTAGTGATATTGAATGTTTTGCATTGGAAATGAACAGAGATCATTCTGTCATTTTTGAGATTGCATCGAAGTACTGCATTTTGCGCTCTTTTGTTGACTATGATGGCTACTCCAATTCTTCTAAGGGATTCTGGCCCACAGTAGGAGATATAATGATCATCTGAGTTAAATTCACCCATTCAAGTCCATTTTAGTTCGCTGATTCCTAAAATGTTGATGTTCACTCTTGCCATCTCCTGTTTGACCACTTCCAATTTGCCTTGATTCATGGACCTAACACTCCAGGTTTCTATGCAGTATTGTTGTTACAGCATTGGACTTTACTTCCATCACCAGCCACATCCACAACTGGGTGTTGTTTTCGCTTTGGCTCCATCTCTTCATTCTTTCTGGAGTTGTTTCTCCACTCTTCTCCAGTAGCATATTGGGCACCTACCAACCTGGGGAATTCATCTTTCAGTGTCCTATCTTTTTGCCTTTTCATACTGTTCATGGGGTTTTCAGGGCAAGAATACTGAAGTGGTTTGCGGTTCCCTTTTCCAGTGGACCACATTTTGTCAGAACTCTCCACAATGAGCCGTCCGTCTTGGGTGGCCCTACATGGCATGGCTCATGTTTTCATTGAGTTAGACAAGGCTATGATCCATGTGATCAGATTGGTTAATTTTCTGTGATTGTGGTTTTCATTTTGTCTGCCCTCTGATGGAGAAATATAAGAGGCTTATGGAAGCTTCCTGATGGGAGAGACTGACTGAGGGGGAAACTGAGTCTTGTTCTGATGGGTGGGGCCATGCTCAGTAAATCTTTAATCCAATTTTCTGTTGATGGGCAGGGCTGTGTTCCCTCCCTATCATTCCCATACTCCTAATTTATCCCTCCCTTATAACTCATTGTTGTTGTTTAGTCACTAAGTCATGTCCAACTAACTCTTTTGCGACACCATGGACCATAGACTGCCATAGGTTTCTCTATCCATGGGATTTCTCAGGCAAGAATATTGGAGTGGGTTGCCATTTCCTTCTCCAGTGAATCTTCCCAACCCAGTGATCAAACCCATGTCTCCTGTATTAGCAAGCAGATTCTTTACCACTGAGCCACCTGGGAAGCCCCTCTTTCCCCTTAGGCATCCATAAGTTTGTTTTTTATGAGTATGTTTCTGTTTTGGTTATGGATTCATTTGTATTATTTTTTAAGATTCCACATATAAGTGATATATTTGTTTTTCTCTGTCTGACTCACTTCACTTAGTATAATATTCTCTAGGTACATTCATGTTTCCACAAATGAAAATATTTCACTTCTTTGTGGCTGAGTAATATTCAATTTTATGCATGTATGCACATATGCATGTGTGTGTATCCCACATGTTCTTAAGCCAATTATGTGTTGATGGGAACTTGAATTGTTTCCATGTCTTGGCTATTGTAAGTAGTGCTGTTGTGAACATTGGGATGCATGTATCTTAAGCCAGATTGCTGCCACTGAGCAACTCCTTGATAAGAGATTCTAGACCTGCCACTGACTAAGACTCTTTTGAAAATATATGCCCCCAAGTTCAGTGGAGTTCCTTGATCTGATTCCCTCCACCTGCTTAACAGAGCTAGCAATAGTGGGGCCAGGGGAGCAGATACTGACAAGCTTTTCTCCTGGGTCCAGGTGGGTGATGCAGTGCTGAACAGCAGGATCTGTGATCTCCTGCTCTCCAAGCATGGCATCTACGTGCAGGCCATCAACTACCCAACTGTCCCCCGGGGTGAGGAGCTGCTGCGCTTGGCACCCTCCCCCCACCACAGCCCTCAGATGATGGAAGACTTTGTGGGTAAGTCCTCAACATGGGTGTCTACAGCACTCTTCTTTCCTTCAGCCCCATTACCGTTAAGAAGTTGACAGTGGATGCCGTTCAGTTTAAAAATATATTTCTGAAACATCTATTATGTGCTAGACCCTATACTAGGGTCATAAATGAATGAGAAACAGTTCCTATACTCATAGGGCTTCAGTTTGGTCGAGGAGACCACAGCAGACTCAAACAATGACTTCAAGGAGTGATTGAAGTTCAACAAAAAGAATGCATGGGGGAGGTGTATGAACAGAAAAGGGGCCTGATGCAACCTGTGGGATTCAGTATAGGCTTCTTAGTGGAGGTGACAACCTGAGTTGAGTCTTGCGAAGGGGTGTGGTATTGGACCAAGAGAAGAAAGATGATGCAGAAGAGATATTCCCAGTAGAAGCAAGAGCATGGGGAAAGGCAAGGAAGAGGATGAGAAGTAGCCTTGGACATATCAAGAATAAGCAGATATTACTGGAATGTAGGAAAGTAAGAATGGAATAAGGTAGGGGAGTGTTTACCTATGAATCTGCAAAGACAACACACAGTTTGGAGGCTTGTAAAGCTGAATAGCTTGGGTTTTATCCTTAAGGTGCCCAATTCACCTAAAGTTTACTGGATTCCTTCTGGGTACAGGGCCAGCATAGAGCAGGTTCTTATTCTAGGTCTGTTGGGTGAAAGACACATAGGCAGTTGATGGCATAGCAAAGGAGACAGACATAAACATGGGTGGTACTGGTCCAGTGTGGTGAGCTCCAGTACTCTGGGAACTAAAAGGAAAGTGTTCATTTATGGCCAGAGAGGGTAAGAAAGGTAAAATTAAGTAGGCTTCATAGGTAAGGAAGTCCTTCTGCTGTACCTTGAGGTACCCGTGGTATGGTGTAAGGATATTTCAGAACAAGGGAATTCAATAAGCACAGACCTAGAGATAGGAAAACGGAGGGCATACATTAGCTACAGCATTTTGTTTGTGTGGAGCATAGGCAGAATGAGAGTACTGGGAAAACAAGACAGGTAGACGCCATTCATTCATTCATTTAAAAGCATCAAATAATGCTAGCCAACACTTATTAAGTACTTACCATATGTCAAGAACTGTTCTAAATACTTTACATGTATTAACTCATCTAATCATCATGGGGTAGAGATGGTATTATTAGCATTTCCATTTTATATATGTAGAAACTGAGGTATCAAAATACATAGTAACTGGTCGAAAGTCACATAGCTACTAGGTTTGAACTGGAGAGTCTGTTTCTACCTCCATGCTCATACCACTAGATCTATCACCTCTCTAAGCTAATGATTTAGACTTCTGGACCTCTTGCTCAGCCTTCTTTGTGCTAGGCTTCAATTACAGAGCTTTCAGTATTCTCAGTTTTCTAAGTGTCCACTTATGCTGGGCTTTTACAGGAAAGAAATATGAGAGGCATTCACCATGACTCCACCAGTCAGTCCTTCAATGTCATAGCCAACCCATCATGAAATCTTGCAGATGTTCTCTACAATCTCTCTCAAATCTCATTTCTCTATTGCTACTTTAATCCATGTCAATGTGATTTCTTCCTAATTTTTGTGCTTTTCTCTAATCCCTTATCCATACTTACCATCAAAGGGATTTTTCTAAAAATCTGACCATATAAGCTTCCTAGTTTAAACCTCTTCATATTTCCCTACTGTCTAGACTAGAGCAGTGGTCTCCAAGGTGAGGTATGCAAGATAATCCATAGGGTAAGGGGATTTATTAGAATTGTATATTTACTTTTTGTCTTAACAAATAGGAAATTAAGCATTACTGATACTGATCTCTAATATACAGACTGACAATGATATATGTATGTAGTATATAAAAAATACATCCATTGGAAGTAGGTATTAGAACTTTTGTACTAATAGGATGTATAGCCCCCAAACTGGAGACACTGGCCTGGAGAATAGTCAAACCTCCTTGGCATAGCATTCAATGCCTTCAACATGGCATTCTATGCTTTCTCTTCTTCCCCACATTCATTTTATTTCTCCAGCTACTCTGAATGACTTACAGTTCCCTCACTTAGCTCTAGCCTCTTACCTCTGGGATTTTGTTAATGATGCTTCCTTCTAAGTGGAATGCCTTCCCTCATCCCTTACTCTGACTTACCTGTTTCCATCTTCTAGATGTAATCAGGCATCTTTCACTCATTCTTTCAACACATAATTATAGAGTACCTACTGTGTGCTAGGTACTGTCCCAGGTGCTGTGGATTCAGTACTACACAAAACAGACACAAAATCTTCTGGAGCTTACATACTAGTAGAAGGAGATAATTTAAAAAGGAACACTTAAAAATAAGTGCAAATTAAATAGCATGGTAATTCTAAGCATTTATGGGGAAAAATATAACAGGAAAAGGGGGATAGAAAGTGCTGGGGGCAGGTACAGGGGCTAGCCTGGAGAGGAAGGTTGCAGCCTTAAATAGAGTGCTACGGACACAGACCACCAAAGTGCCACTTGAGTAAAGATATAAAGGAAGTGAAGGAGTCAGCTGGAAAGAAATCTAAGAGAAGAGCATCCCAGGCAGAGAGAACAGCCTAAAACAGGAAAGGCCCTAACACAGCAGTATTCCTCTTGTATTTGAAGAACAATAAGTAGATGAGTATGGATGGAATGGTGTGAATAAGAGGGAAAGAGATAGAAAACTGAGGAGCAATATGGATCAGACAGTGTAGGGTACTGCAGGCCACTGGAAGGGTTATGGCTTTAACTCTGAAGTGAAAGAAAAGTGAAATCACTCAGTTGTGTCAAACTCTTTGCGACCCCATGGACTGTAGCCTACCACACTCCTCCGTCCATGGAATTTTCCAGGCAAGAGTACTGGAGTAGTTTGCCACTTCCTCCTCCAGAGGATCCTCCTGACCCAGGGATAGAACCCGGGTCTCCCACATTGTAGGCAGATGCTTTACTGTCTGAGCCACCAGGGAACTCTGAAATAGAAATCCTTCTGACGGATTTAAGCAGATGACTAACATATCTGAATCTGCTTCAGGTTTCAAGAGTTTCTCTGACTTCTATGTTGAGAACAGACTGAAAGAGTGGGAGCAGGGAGATCCATTAGGGGGCTACTGTGATATTCCAGGTTAAGAATGATGGTCACAAAAGAAGGGATTAAAATTCCCAAGCCATTGGATGTCACGTAGCAAAGAATTTGCTTTTTAATAAAACATCTTCAGAATTAAAAAATGAAAAAATGATGGTGGCTCAGACCTGAGGATGGCATTGGTGGTAAGAAGTGGTCAGATTTTGGAGATAGAACCAATGGTTTTTGCTAATAAACTGGATGTGTCATAGGAAAGAAAGAGAAAAATAAAGGATAGCTCAAATATTTTTGTACTGAGCAACTGGCATTGCCATCAACTGAGATGGTTATCGCTGAAAGTAGGGTAGACTTGGTGGAGGGTAGGGAGATCAGTAGCTCAGTTGTGCTCATGTTAAGTAACAGATGCCTATTAGATATCCAGGTGAAGATACAGAAAGGCAATTGGATATATAAGTCTAGAATTCAGGAAAGACCTTTGGGCTAGATATGAAACTTTCAGAATCACCAGCATATACATGGTGTTTAAAGCCATGAAACTAGATGAGATCACACAGAGAGTAAGCATGAAAAAAGAGCCAAGGACAGAGCCCCGGGACACAACTGAGGTACTTCTGACAAGAGAGGTCAGGTTCTGTCCTCTGGGCTCCCCACTCCTTCTAGGAAAAACCCCTGCCCCAGGCTCCCAGGTCACGATACTGATGACACTGTGTATTTACTGTCAATGTAATCTTCCTCACCAGGCTGAGTTTCCAAGTAGACGGATTCGCTTCTTGAGTTACACCATGTCATGTACTTAGGAAGTGGTTCAGGCCAGGCCAGTACAGCTTCAAATTATGTCACATGAGTGCTTCTCAAACTTTTATACATCACAGCACCCATACACAAATGGTAATATTCACATCACACAAAGGAGCAAACTAATGTGGCTATTTCTAGTTCTGAGATATCTCAAAGGGTGGAGGGGATCAATATCTTGGCACATCTGCAATGTGGCACAGGGATTAAGACATGCTTTAACCAATTATTTCCCTCCCTTCCCCTCATCACCTTCAGAGAAGCTGCTAGAAGCGTGGACTGAGGTGGGACTCCCCCTCCAGGATATATCTATAGCTGCCTGCAACTTCTGCCGCCGTCCTGTACACTTCGAGCTCATGAGTGAGTGGGAACGTTCCTACTTTGGGAACATGGGGCCCCAGTATGTCACCACTTATGCCTAAGAAACCAGCTGCTTTGGATCCCCACTCCACCTGCACTTCACTTGAAGCTGGGCCGCCTCCTGTCCTCTGCTTTGTGTGCCTTTAGCTGACTTGAGTCTGAAAATAAAGAGCAAAGTGTAGCATTTGTAGCTGTTTGTTTGACAGAGAACAGATAACTGCATTATACCTGTCTCCCTCAGACAAGTGGCAGAGCCATGAGGAAACCACCGACCACCTGTTGATCTGACCATCCCATTTTACTGAGAGGGAAACAGATTCAGACAGAGGGAAAGGCCAAAAACTACACAGTGAGTTGCACAAAGAGCCAGGACACTTGGAAGATTTATACTAAATGGCTCTTTCCCCATGGTTTCACCAAAAATCCAAGGATTGACTCTTCATTCTAGACCTGAAAACTTTGGCCCCAGGTAGCCCCTGAAGCAAGGAGATGGAATCAGCCCAAAGCAATCTGCCTGGAGGAAAGGAGTAGTTCCCCAAAAGCTTGAAGGTATTTTCGAACAAAGAGAATGGATATTCTCCTCAATCCATTATTCTCTTTGCTTCCCACAGTACCTTATAGAACAGGACTTATCAGTTCTATTTCCCAAGGTGGGAATGAGGGTTGGCTATAGCAAGGAACTTGTTCAAGGCAAGGCTCCCAACCTCTCTAGGTCATAACACACTGAAAACATGTGCATGGCACACTTGGGTGAATTAATATTACCTGCCTAGGAGGCAATCTTTCCTAATACTTGTGCAATTAATTCCTGGTCCTGTCTGGCAACTCTAGGTTTGAGGGATCCATTTCTTTCCACCCTTTAACACATTTGTGGCAGCTGTGAGACACATCAGTTGGGAAACATTGGTTTAAAGCTACACAGCCTGGGGGTTACCTGATGACTCAAGACTGTAAAGAATCCACCTGCCAATGCAGCAGACCCAGGTTCAATCATTGGGTCGGGAAGATCCCCTGGAGAACAGCAACCCACTACAGTATTCTTGCTCGGAGAATCCCATGGACAGAAGAGCCTGGCGGGCTACTGTCCACGGGGTCACAAAGAGTTGGACATGACTGAGTGATTAACACTTTCACACAGTCCACCTGAGCTTTCTGTCCCACCATACCCACCTCCCTTGATGACCCAACCTCAGCAGTACAGGAAACCCCAACTAAACAGAGCACCTTTATGGTGAGCACCACTCCTCCTTCATCCCTTCTCCTTAGGAGTTCAAACCCGGGACTGAGATAACATCTAACTCAACTTTATGTGGCACATCCAAAATGTCCATATGACATGGTGCACTACAACAAAGACATGGACTTTATTTAGGCACAGATACATTTTCCAACAAGGTAGGAAGGGGTTTAAAATTACAACTTCCTGGGGCAACTGCTTCCGGTGTACTTCTGAGAGGAAGGTGGGAAGTGGGGTGGGGGACTGGGTCACAAGCATTAAGGCACAAGAAGTTCACCAATGAGGAGGAACTAAGCAGGAAGAAAAGAAAAAAAAGGAGGCCTTGGAGAAAGAAGAAAAAGAGGAAAGGGGAAGGGTCCTTGAGGAAGGTGAATGAGGAGGAGGAGAAAGAAGAGGAAGGAAGCAGGAGGCAGCTTAGGAGGAAGTTGGCCTCAGATCATATACAAGGTTGACTATGTCAGCCATCTCTAGGCCTGGGTTGGTTCAGCTGGGCCTGCTCCAGAGGAAGAAATTGCAGCGGGAAGAGGGGTCAGTGGGAGGACCCTGGGGCCTGGCACACATGTAGAAGTGGCGGCCCAGGTTGGGTCCTGGCTTCTTTACAGTTCGCATTACACATGGCTCCCTGTGTCCCCCACAGAGGGGCATGGGCGAGGGCCCCCCAAGCAGAGACTTCCAGAATGAGGTCCGTATCTCCTTTTCATCCTTGGCCTCTGAAGCCTTGGCCTGCCCCTCCACCACATTGGCCACCACGTCTTCTTCTGAGGTCTTTGGGGTCACAAGGGTGCCCAGGCTAGGAATATCCAAGTTAGAAGTTTGGGGGCGACTGGAGGATGGCTGGAAGTAGCTCATCAGGTTTTTTTGGCCTCTACTAGAGCCAGTTTTACTTGGCCGGGACCTAGTTGAGCGCACACGGGCTTTGTTTTGGCGCATGTGTACCTGTGTTTGATTGGTGGGCTGTAGTGCTGACTGCTTGAACACAGGATCTTGTTTGAGGTGAACCAGGAATCGTAGGATCTTGAGTTGGGTACCTGCAAACTCAGGGAGGAAGCAGGTGCACAGAGGTGGGCACTGTTTTGCTGGCACAGAGGACACGCTTAAGACTGCACCCACAGGGCAGTGGTCAGAGCCCATCACCTCAGGCAGCAAGAAGGAGGCCTGAAAGGTGTCTATGACCAGGGTCCTATCCCCCAACACGTAGTCAAGCCGGGAGCCATAGTTCAAATGGCGGGCACCACTGACTGTTGACCAACAGGTGAAGGCCCCCTTCTGCTTTGGCTGGAAGCAGCGGTAGCTATCGATGAAGGGTCCCATTTGGGAGCCACTCTCGCACCCCAGGTTACTGAGCAAACCATCCATCCACTTGCGCCCTGGGTCCTCTTCAAAACATTCCTAGGGAAAAAGAAGGAGGACAAAGAAAGAGGCAGAACTAGATGCCTAGAACTGTAAGGGACTAATTGCTTCATTTTACAGACAAGAAAATGTGGCTGTTCCAAAGAAGAATGCTCAAGGTCATACAGTCAGGAACTGGCAGAGCTGGGATTCACTTTGCATCCTTAGTGATTTAAAAGCTCATGCTTCCTTTTACTTCTGCATCAAGCTACATCTACCTTGCACTGGGCCATAAATCCCGGGCCTGAAAGCTTCCTGTTGGTTAATCAAAGCAATTCTCAGAATTGCTCACCAAGAGAATGGAAAATAAGATGTTTAGAATGGTTACCTCCAGGAAGTTGGGCTACAGTTAGGAGTTAAGACTGTTGCCTTTTCATGTAAACCCTTTAGTACTATTGTGGTATTTGAGGGGCTCAAGGGATTCACATCTGAATACTTCCTTTGGCTCTGATTCCTAATTCATCATCCACCCAATCCACTCACTCACCCATTCAATGCAACAAATGTTCAAAGAACACTGATTATGTGCCAGGTGTGATATGAGTGACAAAGTGGGACCCTGATCTAGTCTTGGGGACCAACAAGGCTTTGTTTCAGCAAGTAATCTGGAGCTGAGAAGTGAAGATTGAGCAAGAATAACCCAGGCAGAAGGTGTTACAAATTGAGAGAACAACTTATGCAATGGGCCTGTGGAGGGAGGGAACAGCATACCCAGAAGACTGGAGGGGCAATGAGACTGTGGGCCAGAGTACCAACAGGAGATGACTATCATAGTCCACATAAGCAAGATATGATGGTCACTTAGACTAGGGTGGTACCAGAGGAGACAAAATGAAATTAAGAGATGATTTGGAGCTAGAATCAACAGTACTCACTGGCCAATTGAATGGGAAAAGGGAAGGTAGAGAAGGATAATACTAACACGATTCCCTGGCTTCTGGTTGGAGCAACCAAGAGGATGGACGGTACCATTTAGGGAGGATGAGACTAGAATAGCTGGTCTTGTGGGAAGTGGACATATTCTGCTATTTTAGAAAGATTGTGTTTGTCATGTAATCTGGTACTATTCTTTTTTTGGTGGGGGGGAACATATGAAGTGCACTCAAGAGATCTAGGATATTTCTGAACTAAGAAGAGAACACATAAAGGTATATGACACTATCACAGGAAGCAGGAAGAACAGATTATAAGTAAATACCCAATGAGGAATAATGTAGGGAGAACTGACGGTTTTCAGTTTATAATGTACACTTCCTTCCCCACCATGACCATCACCAGTCTCTAATTATCTCATTTCTGCTCATTTTCCCCATTGGGAGACACATCTATGTCCTATGGCTCTTCTGCAAACTAATCAAGGAATCTTCCTACAGCCTCTTCTTTGAGGGAAACAACTTGAAGATTCTAGCACAGTGGTTCTCAAGACTAAATATACAATAAAATCAGCCTGGGAGTTTTTAAAACATACTGCTACCCTGGCCTCACAGCCAATAGATTCTGACTTAACTGGTCTAGGGTTGCATCAAGGTATTGATATTATTATAAAGCTACTTATTCTAATGTGCTTTCAGGGGTTGAGAATCATTGGCCTAGAGGGACTCAGAGATGAGGGGTTCATACAAGAAAAGAAGACAGAAGGGAGGGGATGCCCACCAATTCAGAGGACAGTGAGAAAAGCCAAAATGAGAAGAACTTTTGCAATGGGCAGAGAGGAGAAAACCTGGGTGGAGTGGATGGAGTGTGAAGGGGTGCTGAGGATGGGAATAAAGGACTGAGCAGAGACAAGGAAGAGCCTTGAATGCCAGGCCTGGGTGTTTTCTCTGCATGTCTGCAAGGTAACTGGGAGGTATTGAAGATTCGTGAGCAGGAAACTTAGTCTATTAGGGAAAGACTCAGCAATTTTAAGATATCTCCCCTGAAGTCCAGACACCATTCTATAATTGACTTGTCATGTGTCCATAGTCAACCACCACGCTGAGAGCTCTGGGGGGCCAACAGTCAGAACTGACTGATAAATGAGTCCACAGCATAATCCTCAGTGCTTTGAGAACAGAATTTCAAACTAAGCTCTGCTTTTCTATGAAGGAAGCTTTTGCCACTGGGCCAAAAAACAGCACTGATTGGCTGAACAGAATCAGTCAGGAGTGAGGTCAAAGGCCTAAAGGGAACCTTACCAGGTTGACTGCATCCCAGTGGTCAATGGGGCGGTGGGCTGTATTCAGATCACCCAGAATGATAACATGGCTGAAAAACATAAAATGAATGTCAAGAAAGGGAAGCAGCAGTCCTGGCCCATCTACTGTCTCCTGGGCCCAAGATCTGCCACCTGCCACACAGATATGCAGGTGGGATCCAACAGCAACGCATAGTAGTCTACCTCTCCAATTTCACTATAGCCTTTATACCTTTTACAAATGACCAACCCAATTCTGATCTCCAAAGGTAACACTGTTTCTTGTTTGACATGATCATCTCACTGATCTCTACCAAATGACATCTTTCTGATCCTTCAAAGATGAGCTCAGGTACTATTCCCTCTAGGAAGCATCTCTTGATTATTCCAACCCAACCTCACTTTCCTGTCCTTCTCTGGGACAAGACTTTTCATTTGTTCTAAGTATGTTACCTTCCTCTTATTTTACCCTTAAAACTTCACTGAGGTAGGGGTTCATATAGGGCTTCTCTGGTAGCTCAGCTGGTAAATAACCTGCCTGCAATGCAGGAGACCCCGGTTCGATTCCTGGGTCAAGAAGATCCGCTGGAGAAGGGATAGGCTACCCACTCTAGTATTCTTGGGCTTCCCTGGTGGCTCAGGAGGTAAAGAATCTGCCTGCAATGCAGGAGACCTGGGTTCGATCCCTGGGTTGGGAAGATCCCCTGGAGAAGGGAACAGCCACCCACTCCAGTATTCTGACCTGGAGAATTCCATGGACTGTATAGCCCATGGGGTAGCAAAGAGAACGACATGACTGAGTGACTTTCACTTTCAGGGTTTCATATACTTATTTTCCAAAAGAGAAAACAGAGGTGGGACTAGCTTTGGGGCTCTTAGTGAGTAAAAGGAGAAGCCAGGATATGTGACCAGAGGTATTTGAGTACAAAACTCATATCTGTATCACTTTACTTGGTCCTCACAAGCTCTTAAACAGCAGAGCCTATTCCCTTGGGCATGCTGATGTCTACAACTAGGCTGTGAATGAATTCAAAATACAAAGATCCCACATCCCCTCCCAGTGGGTCCTGACACAGGACTGGGCACCCAGGACAAGCTCAAGGAAGCCTTTCTGCACAGGCTTGCAGTACCTGCCAGCTGCCAGGAGAGCTTCTGCTCGGATCTGCAGCAAGCGATAGAAGCGCATCTTAAAGGCGAGTCGCTCAGGCTTCCCAGGGTCCGCATGGGGGCAGTACACGTTGATTAGGGTCAAGGTCTTCTCATTCCCTTCCCATGTGCTGGTAAGAAGAGAACCAGCCCATCAAAAAGGGATCACTTGCAAGCCACCCTTCCCCTTCCCACACCATGTGACTTCCACTCAGTGGTTGTCTATGGGATGGAAATAAAGGAAAGGGATAGAGAAATATGAATGAGCTGGCATACACAGGACTTGAGGATTGACTATACCTATGATGACACACAGGTAAACCAGGTAATGGTGCTGCCATTCACAAAGATAGGACACAGAAGGAGAGCAATCTGGGGCAGTAAGTACAAGGTTGGCTAACTTGCTTTTGAGGTACCTGTGGTAATAAAAGAGTTAGGACTCCCAACCAGGCTCCCTCCCACCTCAGCCCCAAGTAGAGATAGAGAACTCAAAACTCAGAGAAGAATATGATTTGTTCAGGGTCACAAACTAGGTAGCTTAGCCAGGACTAAAGTCCAGGAATGGCAAGTTTAGGAAGTTTTCCAATGGTGAATGTAGATTTATAAGGCAAGCCTTAGAACCACCACATTCACAGAGTTGAACTAGCAATGATGGGTGACACGGGGATGTGGACTATTACCAGATCTTGTGTTGTGTGAGGAGGGCCCGGCCCTCACTATCCAGAGCTCGAAGCTCCTCTTGGGTGAAGTCATCCATGTTTCCATAGCAACCCACATCCCCATTCTGAGTGGCAAGCAGGCCACTCAGGCCTTCTTCAGCAGCCACTGGGGTAGCACTGTCCTTACAGAAAGTGGCTACACCTGGAGACAGAGAGGGTACTGGTGACTGAGCAGGCCTGGCAGTTAACAGCCTGTTGCACAGCCTATTGCCCCTGCACAGGTCACATGCTCATCTTCATCAGGCATAGCTCTCTTGATGACTCTCCCAACTCAAGGGCCATGGATACCTGGGGCAAGTCTACTCAAACCCTGGGTCTCAGTTCCTTCATCTTGAAAAGATACAGATTAATAACAGCTAATATTCTAAGTGCTTTACATGGTATCTGCTCAGAAAATGCTAGCTATTATTATTATCATATGAACTAATAAGTTCAGTTCTTGCAACAGCCCTAAGAAGTACACATTATCCCCCTTTTCCAAGTGAGGAACTTTAAGCATAAAAAAGTTAAATAGCTAGCCAGAGGAGAGGGTACACAACTAGAAGTGAGCGAGGATTCAAACTCAGGCAGTCAGGCTCCAGAGCTCATGTAACTAACCACCACTATTGTGCTCTTGCAATCCAATATTATACAAACAAACAAAAAAAAATCCTTCATATCATCTGATGTAGCTTTAGCTCTGTAGACAAAAAGCCTACATTTCTTACTGCCTTCTCATTAATTATTGAAAACCCTTTTCCACCTGCCCTCATCACTTTAAAGTCCCCAGAAAGACCAATTTACCAGAATAGCCACTGCGGTTGCGGCTGAAGCTGAAATAGGAGTTGTAGCCCTCAATGATAGCCAGGGGCTCAGTCAGCACATCCCCTGGGGGAAAAAAAAGATGTAAGATTACATCAGAGATAAAACTAGAAAGACCTGGAATTACAGCTGTAGGCTAATGCCTTGCACACATCAGAGCCAGGGTGGGAAGGGAAAATTAAGTATCTATGATTAGAGAAGTTAGAAAGGTGGGGACGACAGAGGAAACTGATACCAGAATTACAAGAAAGGGGAAGACTACCTAATGGGAGGTGAAGAATCAGGTGGGAAAAGGCTAGGTAACTGGAGGAAGTTGGGGGTGAGAAATGGTTACACGGGAGAGAAGACTGGGAATCTGAGCAGGAGGTAGGAGAGAGAGGGAATTGGAAGATTTGAACAGAGGATGCAGGGAAAATAGGTAACCGGTCCTAGAGGTGGTGAGTGAGAGAGGGAAGGAATCAGGGGATTGAGCTGTGGGGCAGGGGGGTGGAGGAGTTGTGTGTGCAGCGAATTACCAGACCCTAAGCTCGGGGGTGTACATGAAGTAGGAATGAGAGGCTCTCTGGAGAAGGAAATGGCAACCTACTCCAGTATTCTTGCCTGGAGAATCCCTTGGACAGAGGAGCCTGGGGCTACAGCCCCTGGGGTTGCAGAGAGTCAGACAGGACTTAGCAACTGAGCACTCATCTGGGGAGGAGACAGAGGGTAGAGATAAGGGGGGTCTGGGGACTTTAGATAGAAGTTTTAAAAGGAGGAAATTAGGGAGTCTAAACTGGGGACAAAGATGGGGTGGGAATTAAAGGATATGGACTGGGGGCAGAAAAGGGAAATTGGGGAAATCTGACTTGGGAGTGGGAGATGGAAAGTGTGTAGGGGGAGGAAATTCTGGGGACTTAGCTGGGGTAGGAGAATGAGTAGGAATCGGGATGTGAAACAAGATGGAAATTGCAAAGGGGAGAGAGAATTATGATTTCGCTGAGGCCAGGAGATGATGTGGAAATTAGGAGATCTAGCTAGAGCGTGAAACACAGAGGGGAGATCGGGATTCTGAATTGGCTCTAAGGGGAGGATTCTAAGAATAGAGAAATGGAAAAGTGAAGTAAATGGAGCAGGGGGCAAAAGTTAGCAGAAAGGGGAAAGTATGGTAGGGGGTCCTAAATTCTTGAGCGCTCACTGGTTACTTTGGTCTCCTGAAGACAGACGATGTCTGCATCCAGCTTTTCCAAAATGCGCCCCATAGCCATGGCGGTGCAGCTGCTGGGCTCCTCGTATCTCGCCCCTTGCAAGGGGCTCCGGATCCCATTGATGTTCCAGCTCACCAAGCGCAACATGTCGACAGCTAATTACAATGCCTTTGAGCCCGGGCCCAACGCAGGCGCTAGGGGAAAAACTGGAAACTCCTAAGTCCGACAGGCCGGACCTCCCGCGCGCGCGAGCATTTGCGCAGGCTTTCTAGCGGTCGGACGTACGTGGGGCGGGGCTTCAAACTCCTCAGTTTTCATTGGTAGGAGGAGCGGAAGCTGATGGGGAAGGTGCGGTCGGTCTGCCCTAGGGGAAATGAATAGTGAGAGAAAGGTCACGGGTTGAGCTTCTTCTACCAGCCAACACTGTCTCGCGTGCCTGAGTCTGATTGCGTTTCTACTCTGCTCAAAAGTCCCTTTGGTGCTTTCGATTGCTTACAAATGAGATTTCACCATTATTCAAGTGGCAGAGCCTTAAGCGGAACCGTGCAGCAAGCGGAACCACGCAGCGACCAAAACCCCGCCCCTAGTGTTCAGACCGCATCCCCTTGGTACCCGGAAGGCTTTGACGTGGGGAGCTGGGAGTGTCTGGTACAACCCAGCGTGTAAACCCGGAAGCCAGACTGAGCAAAGGGAGCTTTGTGGCTGGAGGCCTGAGCAGTAAGAAAGCTCTAGATTTTGGAAATTAAGCACTTGTTGGTAATTGTTTGCAATTACTTTCTCCCAGTCTATAGGTTGTCTTTTCTTTTTGTTTATGGTTTCGTTTGTTATGCAAAAGCATTTAAGTTGGATTAGGTCCCATTTGCTTATTTGTTTTATTTCTTTTGTCTTTGAAGACTGATCTAAGAATATATTATCAGGATTTATGTCAGAGAATGTTTTGCCTGTGTTCTCTTCTAGATTTATTGTGTCATGTCTTATATTTAACTCTGTAAGCCATTTTGAATTTATTTTTGTGTATGGTATAATGGAGTGTCCTAACTTCATTTATTTACATGAGGTTGTCCAACTTTCCCAGCACCACTTGCTAAAGAGACCGTCTTTTTTCCACTGTATGGTCTTGCCCCCTTTGTCCAAAAGTAATTGAAAGTAAACATGTTAAGACAGAAATATAGACCAGTGGAGCAAGGTAGAAAGCCCAGAGATAAACCCATACACCTATGAGCACCTTATCTTTGACAAAGGAGGCAAGAATACACAATGGAGTAAAGACAGTCTCTTCAATAAGTGGTGCTGGGAAAATGGACAGCTAACTGTAAAAGAATGAAGTTAAAACACTTCCTAACACCATCACAAAAATAAACTCAAAATGGATTAAAGACCTAAATGTAAGGCCTGAAACTGTAAAACTCTTAAGGAAAACATAGGCAGAACTCTCTTGGACATAAATCACAGCAAGATCTTCTATGACCCAGCTCCTAGAGTAATGGAAGTAAAAGCAAAAATAAACAAATGGAACCCAATTAAACTTAAAGACTTTTGCAAAGCAAACCATAAACAACATGAAAAGACAACCCTCAGAGTGGGAGAAAATAATAGCAAATGAAACAACTGACAAAGGATTAATCTCCAAAATAAGCAAGTGGCTCATGCAGTTCAATATCAGAAAAACAAACAACCCAATCAAAAAATGGGGAGAAAACCTAAACAGACAGTTTTTAAAAGACATACAGATGGCTAATAAACACATGAGAAAATGCTCAACATCACTTATTATTAGAGAAATGCAAGTCAAAACTAGAATTTAGTGTCACCTCATACTGGTCAGAATGGCCATCATAAAAAAAATCTACAAACAATAAATACTAGAGAGGGTGTGAGAAAGGGGAGCCCTCCTGTACTGTTGGTGGGAATATAAGTTGATATAGCTTCTGTGGAGAACACAGGCTTCCCTCATAGATCAGTTTGTAAAGAATCCACCCACAATGCAGGAGACCCCAGTTCGATTCCTGGGTCAGGAAGATCTGCCAGAGAAGGGATTGGCTACCCACTCCAGTATTCTTGGGCTTCCCTTGTGGTTCAGATGGTAAAGAATCCATCTGCAATGCAGGTGACCTGGGTTCGATCCCTGGGTTAGGAAGATCCTCTGAAGAAGGGAAAGGCTACCCACTTCAGTATTCTGGCCTGGAGAATGAGGTATCACCTCATACTGATCAGAATGGCCATCATCAAAAAATCTACAAACAATAATGCTAGAGAGGGTGTGGAGAAAGGGGAACCCTCCTGCACTGTTGCTGGGAATGTAAATTGATACAGCCTCTGTGGAGAACACTGGAAATTTCTTTAAAAACTAGGAATAAAGCTACCATATGACCCAGCAATCCTGATATGGGGCATATACCCTGAAAAAACCACAATTTTAAAAGACACACGTACCCCAATGTTCATTGCAGCACTATTTACAATAGCTAAGACATGGTAGCAACATAGATGTCCATCAACAGATAAAGAAATTGTGGTTCATATATACAGTGAAATATGTGTGTGTTTGGTGGGGGGTTGGGTGGGTGTGTGAGCAAATGCCTGCTCAGTTGTGTCCAACTCTTTGTGACCCCATGGACTGTAGGCCACCAGGCTCCTCCATCCATGGGCTTTCCCAGGCAAGAGTATTGGAATGGATTGCTATTTCCTTTTCCAGAGGATCTTCCCAACCCAGGGATCGAACCTGGGTCTCCCACATTGTAGGCAGACACTTTACCATCTGAGCCACCAGAGAAGTCTATGCTATGTATATTTTACCATAATTAAAAATAATAATAAAAAGAATGAGGAACTTTCACCTCTTCCTAGTTCCAAAACATCACCTAAAGTGAAACACATACCCATTAAGCAATTAGTCCCTATGCCCTTCACCACGAGCACCTGGCCCTTCACCACGAGCACCTGGATGCCATCAATTTGCTTTCTGTCCCTGTGTGTTTATCTATTTTTTTATTTTTCACATGAGTTAAATCATTGCAAAATGTACTAAATCACACTGAATCGTACACTTTAAAATTGTTAATTTTGTGTTGTGCAAATGTTATCTTGGACTTCCCCAGTGACTCAGCAATAAAGAATTTACCTGCAGTGCAGGAGACATAGGAGGCATGTATTTGATCCCTAGGTTGGGAAGATCTCCTGGAGGAGAGAGTGGCAACCCACTCCAGTATTCTTGCTGGGATAATCCCATGGACAGGGAGGCTGGAAAGCTACAGGTCAAGGGGTCGCAAAGAGTCATGACTGAGCACTCAAACTTTATCTCAATTTTTAAAAAAGCATATACACACCATAATATATAAAATAGAGAATCAACAAGGACCTACTGTACAGCACAAGGAACTCTACTCAATACTCTGTAATGACCTATATAAGAAAAGAATCTGAAAAAGAATAGATGTATGTATATGCTGTAATTTGTTATACACCTGAAGCTAACACAATATTGTAAATCAACTATATTCCAATGTAAAATAAATGCTTTTTTAAGAAAAGGAGAGGATAATGACATGTTCTATGTGCATTTATATGGAAAGATATCAAAATATATTGGGGGAGGGCTGCAAAATAGTATTGAAACTTTTGAATAAACCATGGGGAAAATGGGGGAGGGGGAAGCACTCTAATGGAGTAAGACTTAGGAGAGGGCCTCTGGCTTTATTGGGCTCGGGGAGGTAGATGGGGAAGTTGTATCCAGCCCACCCTGTAGCCATTATTTTTCTTTGGCCTTATAGCAGCCCTAGGATGTGACCTGACAAGTACTTCCTCTTCATTTCTCAGATGGTTAAAATCAAGACCCAGAGAATCTAAGAGGATTATCCACGTTCCAGAGCAGCACTGTCTCCCAATATAACCCAAGGCTCTTCCATATGCATTTATCTCACTTCCTTGTCAGAGCAACATTGTAAGGGACATTAAAGCTAAATAAGAGAGGTTCAGTGAATTCAAATCAGTATCACGAAGTAGTAGAGCCAAGATTCAATTCCTATCTTAATCAGCTCAAGGAATACTGAGTAAGTTTTTTTCTAATCACCCATGCACCACTCCAGTTAGATCTTTTTCTCTGGGCCCCCACACCACCCTATCGTCCATTCCATCACACCACTTACAATGCATGGCTACCACTGATTTCTGTTTCCATCACTAGACTGCCAGCAGCTTGACAGCAATGACCATGTCTGATTCATCTTGTTAGTCCCATCCCCTGGTGGCTCAGAGGGTAGAGCGTCTGCCTGCAATGCAGGAGACCTGAGTTTGATCCCTGGGTCAGGAAGATCCCCTGGAGGAGGAAATGACAACCCACTCCAGTATTCTTGCCTGGAGAATCCCATGGATGGAGGAGCCTGGTAACCTACAGTCCATGGGGTCGCAAACAGTCGAACACGACTGAGCGACTTCACTTTCACTCACTAATATAGCATACAGCACATGTTAGGAGTTAATAAATGTTTGCTGAATGAATGAACAAGCGAAGGACATTAGCAAGAGCATCAGCAGATTAGTGACTTGTTTTCTGAGAACATAAGAATAGAGATAATAGAAGTGCCCAATATCCAGGGGAAAGTATAACTTTGCATCCTTAGGTTCCTCACCCAGAGTTGCAGTAAAATTACTTTTCCCCCAGAATTCCAACCATCATTCTCAATGTCTGCAAATAAGACCTAAAGAGCTGCTTCCCCCCTGGAGGACTTAAAGGTTACATTCCCCCTGATGGACTTAAAGGCTGTTGCCATCAGAAAATAGCCCTGAAATTGAAATTAAAATGTTGGTGCTTTAAGCTTTTTCATGTTTTTGGTGGTTATAAGCTTAGGACTGAGTCCCAAGAGTGGAATAATTAGGACAAAGGAAATGAACATTTGTATTGCTCTTACTTCATATTGCCAAATCACTTTCCAGTAAGGGATCATGCCAATTTGCACTGAAGACCAATATGAAACAGCCCTAAGGAAATCCAGATCTTGCCTCTTTCCATTGCTGGTTTTCATTTCCCCATTCTGCAGTAGCTTGTTAATATTAGTTCTGACCTTCGGGGTTGGCCTGAAGAGAAAAGGCTCTGGATGACTCAGGAACTTCTTTGGCAACTACAACAGCTGATATTTCAACAGTGGGTACACTCCCCCTCTTACCAAGGATACTTCCCGGCCTTCCCAGAGAACCAACAAGCACCTCCAGACTCCCTGTTTGATCACTGGACCTGCTTTGGGGGTCTAAATGCAAGAGTCGTGTGTCGGATAATTAGTGATGGAAGAAAAAACCTCTAGGAGAACAGGTAGGTGAGACAGAAGAAAAATAGATAGGAGTTAATACAAATATAAATCCATTCTTTAGGCTCTCTGGAAAATTTTCCTAGTGTAGGCAGTCACTTGAACTGTTCACTAAAGTGTATGGGAAGTTTGGGATTAATATAATTTCTATATCTCATTATCTATCATCCATTCTGACCTGTCTTTGTGGAACACTGGCCCAAAGGGCAGTTCCCTAGCACTTTTAGAAGTCTCTCTAACTTGGTCTAGTCCAGTTTCTTTTTTTTAAAGCTGGATGATAGATATTACATTTCTTAACTGCCAACTGGTGTATAAAGTAGGACTGGTTTGCTGTGGCACTTTGAACAAGCTTTTTAGCTTCTTTGGGCTTCAGTAGCCTCCTCACTAAAATGGAAATTAAAGTCCCTATCCTATTTCCCTCAGAGGGCTGTAACAAGGTGAAGAAGAGTAGTATGAGAGGAACCAAAGCTCTTTGAAAATATTTCAGGATTTCCGTGCTCTATGTTAGTGATCTTACCTTTTCTGTAGCCTCCACAGGCAATACCACCCACAACTCTCTTCTCCCCGAGTGACTGTGGTTTGTGGAGTGCAAACCTTGGGCTCCAGGCATGGGGCTGAAAGTAGTGAGGGGATCGTAGGTCAGGGAAGTGGCTAAGAAGGAAATGGCTCCTAGGCTGCTTCCACGAAAGACCTAATATACACATATAGACACCTGACCTATAAGCATGCAATCTCCCCTCCTCACTCTAAAACAAATGCATTCACATCCATACACTCCAAGAATTACCAATACAGAGACTCCATTTGTGATTTTGATACCCATCAGTACTGTCTTGACATTGCTTTTAATGAAATTCTTCCATGAATTCCATACTTTGGGAGGATGATCAGAATCTGTATGCCTCAGAAAGTCACACTTTATGCTTTCCTCCATACAGTTAATCCCAAATTAGAATTTGTGGTTCAACTCTTCATCTTAAGTTAGGGTTAGTAAGTCTCTGATACTGAGTGAACCTTTTTTTTTTCTGTAACCAGTTAATTGGATCATTTTGGGGAGTGAGGGGACTTCATTCTTTAGTTCTTTTTGTTTTGCCCCATTCAGAGTTGAGAAACTCTCTAGATCCTCCTATCACCTTCTACCTTCAAACCAAGTTATTTCCCCCACTCCAGTTCCCTGAATATCTCCCTTTTTATAAAATTTATCTTGTTGAATGAGGATTATTTGTACACATGTTCATCTCATCCAGGCAGAGAGATGTAGATTAAGCAAGTATCCTCTGTGTCAAGGCCTGAGCTGGACATCTGGAAACAGATCACAGATAACTGAGATCCAGTACCTATCCTTAAAGAGCTCACAATCTAGTAGGAAAGTAAACTGGTAAAACACAGGTTGATACTTGCGCAGATAAACAGAAGCATATAAGCAATGTGGGAAGCAAAGCCAAGGCTTCTCAGAGGAGGTGAGAATTGAGCCCAGCCTAGAAAATTGAGTCATATTTCACTGAGAATGGAAAGGAAGAGAAGGCATTCCAGGCTGAGCGAACACCCAGAGGCAAAAAAGTACACAGTAAGTTTGGGGGCCCAGTGAGGTAGCTGGTACAATTTAGCCATGGGAGTCTAAAAAGAGACATGACTGGAGAAGTAGGTTTGATTGAGAAGAGCCAGGGCTGAGGCCTTTCCAAAAAGCTTGTTGAGTTTTCCTACTTCTGGGGATCACAATGATAACAGTGGTTAAACACACAGACACACAGACACATACACATACACACACACACACACACACACACAGAGCTAGTTTCAGGCAGTTTTAATTTGGGTTTTCAAGCCTGGACCCCAAGTTTGCCTTTCAGACCTTGTCAAAAGTCGGCTAAGCTCCTATCTCAGATTTCCTGCTGCTAAAATTATCTTTCATGCAGGGTCATGAGGACAAAATTTTAAACATAGAAATGGGGTTCATATGACTAGATTGATTACATCAGACAAGCCACTTCCCCTCCCAAGACCTCAGTTTCCCTGTGAGGCCAGTGAGAATGTTTGGAAGGAGCAACTATGAAAAAGAATATGTTTCATTGTAGGCCTTGGAAAACATACTTCTAAAGCATTATTGTTAAGATTATTAGCATTAGCAGAGTGATACAGTTAGGAGACTTATTAGGATTAAGAGAATTGTATCTCTTCCAAAGTCTAGATCTAGGACTCTAAATGTTATGAGCTAATCTGGAGGACCACATTATTAAAACAAGCTATTTTTATCAGTTAAACCAAAGAAAAACCTTGGACTGGAGAAATTAGATCCCCAGTGTTTCATTCCTGACTTGGTGATTTAATTTGATATAGGACCTTAGGAAAATACTTCCCCTCTCAAGCCTCTATTTTCTTACCTGAGAGAGTTGGATAAAATTATTTCTAGGGGTCTTCTGTATCGTAAAACCAAAAAAATAAAAATGAATTCATCTTTCTAATTGATTGGCATGAGTTCTTTATTACAAATGTTAACCCTTTGTCATAATTTTGTAAGTTTCTTTTGCTGTTTCCTGAATTCTCACCATTACATTAGAAATTGTAGATTAGCCAAAGAGGTGATTTATCTTTTACTTCACAGAGGGAATCACAGAGTTACATAATATATATTGAACATTTCCCAGATTACTTTATATGTGTTAACACACTGAATCTTCAACTACCCTAAGATACTCTTATGAGATGAAAACACAAAGTGTTTCACCAGGGCACTGAAAAGTTGTGTTCTGCCCAGGGTCTCCTAGCAAGGGGGAAGAGGTGGGATTCCACTCATGTAGTATGGCTCCAGAGCCCAGTGCTTTTAACCACTGTGATCCACTGCTTCAAGAGATTCATTTAGAAGGGAAGGCTTTGAAATGTATTGAAAGTTTAGTGTGATTTATACACAGAAACTGGAGGGAATCTAACTTTTAGGTAGACTGGGATGCTGAGAGCGTATTTTAAGGGACTTCTTAAAAGGCAAAATGGAGCTGAGAGCACTGGAGGTCAGGAATTGGAGATTTATATCCCCAAGAGACTGGCCCAGTGTTGCCCAGCTCAGAGGAAGAAACTGAGCTTCCATGTAGCCAATCACTGGAGGTTTATCAAGGGGTGGGAAGATTGCAAAAGAATGAAGTAAGAGCACACTTGAACATCTTCCAGGTAAGTTATGCTGTTAGATGAGTTTTACACATAAAAGTTTCAAAACAATCAGGGGGAGGGTAAAGAAGAGAATTCTGAGTAGGATGGCTCTGGCCTATGGACTTGTCCTACTTTGAGGCCATTGCTCCCTATTCCCCACAGTCTGCTTGCTGCAGCCTCCCCCCCACCACCCCCGGCCAGGCCTCCATCCTCATGGCTTGGCATAAAGAATTTTAGTCAAGTTATGGGTTAGATCACAATTCCTTTCTTCCTAGATGACCTGATGACAGTTGGCAATCATACTGTCACTCTCCCTAGCAATGGCTGCATGCACATCTCTTCCCAAGGTGTCAGGTTTACTCTGATTTATTTAGCCTTGGCTGGAGAGAGCATAAAGATGATCAAATAGTGCCCATCTCTCTGAGAGTGTCCCAGGCAGCACACTCTCACATTTTAAGAAAGCAGGACCCTTGATAGGAAAGGTAGTTGCATTCAGGGGAATAAAAGGTTTGTAGTGCCTTTGGGAGGGCATTGAGGCGGTAAACCTTCCAATTCCAGTTCGGGACGATGACTGCTAGCTCAAAACATTTTTTTTTTCAGTAGGGACCTCGTGTTTGTGTGTTTGTATTTGGGAATCTTGCATTTCTGATGTGGATCTCTGTTTCTGGGTTGGAGCCTGACATTCTGCTTGAGCCTGTTTTTTTATTGCAAAGCTATGAAAGCTGCTGAGATCTGACTCCATCACCTTTGCCTCCCCACCCCACACAGGACATAAGCACATGATCTTCAGTCTTTTATTTGCATACTCTACTAGTCCTGTCTTCATTGGAGGGGAGTGACTGGCCAGACCTGGGCTATCTTGCTGGCTGCCTTCCTTGCTGGGCTCCAACTTATCTCCTATGTACACAGCTCTTGGAGTTCAGAGGCCCCTGCTGACCTCTGCCCAACCTCTCCTCTGCACCCAAGCCCCCAATGGTACATACAGGAGCAGAGGCAGGCAAGGACTAGGAGACAAGAGAGAGGCTGGAGACAGGCTGCAAAAGGGCTCAGAACCCCAGCACACCTCCCTGTCCCAACTCTGTCCACCACCTGCTGTGGCCACAGCAAAAGAAGAGAGAGCTAATAAGACAGAAAGTAAGGCCTGGTACCTTGTGGACAGTGGTGTCATTAGCTGCAACGCCTAAGATGTCTCAAGAGATGGGAGAGCTCACCCAAACCAGATTGCAGAAGATCTGGATTCCACACAACAACGGCAACAGCAGGCTGCAACGGAGGAGGGGCTGTAAGTGGGGTTTGCTTCTGTGGGCTTCAATGTGGTGGTGGTAGAATGGGTGTAGAAGATTAAAGGGCATGGCCCCTTGTCCACCCCCACCCCCACCTGAAAGTTGGAATAGGTGAGCAGCTGGATGAAATAGCTGTAGGGCAACAAGATGCTAATGTCAAAAACAGAGAAAGAAGGAAAGAAAGAAAGACAGAAAGAGAGAGGTGAATACAGAGAAAGAATGATGGTTATGTAAAGACCATCTTAATCAGAGGGATTATTGACTAGGAATTTTTTCTTTTATCCAGAGCTTATTTGGAATACTTCTTGTTTGAAATCTGACAGTTCTAGATCAGTGCTAGCCTAAATATTTTGGTGACCTCAGTGAAATGTCTGGAAATTTGTACTGTCTGATAGCGCTTGAGTGAAATAAAGTTCTTGGCATTGTTTCTTAGAGGACAGGTGCTGGGTACACAACAGTTCCATATCATTGGTCGGTTTTGCTCCTCCCCTTTCTCAAGCCTCCTTTCTCAAGCCTCCTTGAGAAACTGGGTTTAACTGGGTTGGAAAAGGCTGGGTGTCCTGCCTAACTGGGTTGGAAAAGGCTGGTGTCCTGTCTCCTGCATTGCCTTCATGGCACATATGGACACATTTGCTGCTCTAGGAATTTGAGGGAGAAGACACCCAGGGAAAGACTACTGGTGTAATGTTCACTTTGAAAATTTAAAAAAGACTAGGGTCAAAAGGGGAAAGCAAACAAAACCTGTAAATGCATTTTTAAAGTAGATTATACCATTTCCCATAGATAACAGGGGACAGTTTGCAGATCAAGGTGTTTCCAGCCCAATAATTTTGACCTGAGGAGCCATAAGGTGGATGGAGATAAGACAGCTATGTACTGTGGGACCCAGACATTTTAAGGACCAGCTGACCAAGCTTCCACTATGCTAATGCTAGAAGAGGTCCAGGCTCACAGCTAGTGAGAGGAAGAGCCAGGAAGATGTAAGATATTAAATATACTATGTAGAATGGAGGGTATGGATGGAGGAAGAGAGGGAAAAAACCTAGCCTTCTGTTCTTCCTTTTCCTCTCCATCAGCAGTTTCAATCACTCATCTGGAGATCAAGGAGCCTAGATGAGACTGAAAATTACATCCTACCCTCACTCACCAAATCACTTTTATTCCTTCTAAGGGGCTATTGGGTTAAGCTGGCAAGCAGGCAAGCCACTCTTTGCATACCTGGGTCCTCTATAGTTAGAGCCCTTATATTCCTGGGAACTCTTGTCTTTCAGTTGGAGAAATAATATACATAAATCACATAATATAGTCTCTGTCATATAGAAGATGCAAAATAAATATGCATTCACTTTATTTTAAGAGCTTATCTCTCCTCAGCTATAAGACATAATTAATACCTACTTCCCCATGTTGTTGGGGTGTTCAGTGATTCAGACTGCCTAGCTTTGAGTCCCAGCTCTGCCACCTCCTGCCTCTGTGACCCTGGATGTCTGGACCCTCTTAACTTACCTGTGCTTCCATTTCCTCATTGGTAAAAAGAAATTAGTAATAGTGTAGTGAGGATTAGAAAGCTAAAACATATAAAATGCTTAAAAGAATGTCAGGTGTATAGTAAGTACTCAATGTTACTGTTATTATTTAAATAAGAAGGTGGGTGTGTGGTCTTTTGCCCATCATATCCCCAGCGTCAAACCTGAAGCCTGGCACATAGCAGATACCCAATAAATGGTAACTCTGTGCTACGTCCACTCTACCCTCACCATAGCAAAGCATGGGGATCTGTGTGTACAAGATAGTGACTCATAAGTGATTGACTGAATTATGTCAGACCACAGATATAGTAAACTTAGTGACCTGGGGGTGGTAGAGGTACACAATTATTTAATGACTATTCTGAGGATTAAATTCATTAGTGTGCAAAGATCTTGAACAACTGTGTATATTCATCTGTGACTTTTTTTTTCTCATTCAACATTATATTTTGTGCCATCTATAATATTGTTGCATGCAATTGCTTATTCTCTTTGCTGTGTAATATTATATTTTGCAAATATCCCATGATTTATTTATCCATTTTACTGTTGATGTATATTTATATAATTTCTAGTTTAGGGTTATGAACAATTACACAATGAAAATTTTTGTCCCCATAAATTTTGGAATCAGTTTTTCAAACTACACACACATACATACAACTTTTGGTGTTTTGATTGGAATTGGAATTACAGTCAATCTATATATCAGTTTAAGGGAAGTTAACATCTTTGTGATATTGAGTCTTCTGTAAATATGGTGTGTCTCTATTTAGACATTTTTATGTTATTTGAGTGAAGTCTTATAATTTAAAAGGGCTTATGTGTCATTATAATTTTTGTTTATTTTGTTGCTATTGTATACCTTTATAGAAAATTGCATTTTATACCAATTTATTGCTAATGTATACAACTATAATTGTGGGGAGTTTGTTTATTGCATTTGCAACCAGCAAACTTGATAAACTTAATTTTGACAATTTATATGTAAATGACAGCTCTCTTTTTTCCCTTCCAATCCTTACTTTTTAAAAATCTCTTATTCTTATATTATGTCACTGTTAGGACCTACTAACTTCAAAACATGAACACAAATGTCAATAGAAATGTTAATATTACTCATGTTTATGTTGGACTTAATTTTAAAGGTAATGTTTTTAAAGTTTCACCATTGAGTAAGTTTGCTGTAATTTTTTTGTACATGCCACTTAACAGGTTAAGGAAGTTCCAGTTTGTTCTTTGTTTGAAACAGGATTTTTTAAAGATGAGTAGATATTGAATTTTATAAACATGTTTTCTGTGTCCACTGAGATGACAGATTGGTTTTCTGTTTTAATCTGTTAATGTAAATTACACTAGAGATTTTTCTTGTTTTTTATCTGTCTTGCAGTCTTAGGATAAATAATACTGGATTTTGTTCATTAATATTTTATTTAGGGATTTGGCATTTTGTTTATGAATGAGATTGACCTGTACTTTCTCCATTCTCATTGTTCCCTGTTTGACTTTTGAGTCATAAAATGAAGTGAGAACTATTCCCTTTCATTCTATTTTCTGACAGAGGTTATCCAAGGAACTATTTGTTCTTTAAATATTTGGCACAACTTCCAGGTAAAAACATCAGACCAGGTGTTTTCTTTGTAAGAAAAAAATTAATTGATACAATCTTTTGAATAATTATAGAATCATTCAAGTTTGTTATTCCTTCTTGTCAGTTTTGTTAAATTATGTTTTTTAGGAATTTTTCTATTTCACATCACTTTTCAAATTTATTTGCATAAACTTACATCCATATTTTTTAAATCTCTATTTCATTTACAATTATATCCTCTTATCCTTGTTTATTTGTACCTTCTTTTTTTATTCTTGATCAATATTGACAGAAGTTTGTCACTTTTGTAAATTTTTTTAAATAGTCGTCTTTTGGCCTACTGATTCTTTCTGTTATATCTCTGGCTTTTTATTTAGCCATTTTCCTCATCATTATTCTTTTTTTCTGCTTTCTTTGGACTTATTCTGTTTTTCTTTTTTAACTTCTAGGGTTGGATGTGCAGCTTATTTATTTTCAGACTTTCTTCCTTTTGAATATAAGCATCTGATGCTGTAATTGTCATATTAAACAGATTGGTATTCCACAGATGCACAGTTGTATGGACATATGAATTTTTAAAGTATTTCCAGACTATTTGGTAAATAGACACTGCTCAGGGCTTTCTTAGTTTCTCTATCACTCAGTTGCCCTGGCCACCTCAGTCCCTTTCTCAGGACTGCTAAGACCTATAGACTTATCATCTAGCAACTGAAGAGTTAATGCCTGACACAGAAGGTGTCCTCTAGAAATTGGTGCCAAACCCTTGGGCCAGCTTCTGTTTTGCTAGATCAGTGCCCTTACCATTTCCAGTCTGATTCCATCCTTCTTCAAGAACAAACTGTATGATTTCAATTCTTTGATATCTATTGAGATTTGCTTTATGGACCAACATATGGTAATTTTTGGTAAAAATTCCATGAGCACTTGAAAAAAATATACATTTTACAATTCGATTAAGAATACTATATACTTCAATTAAGTCATATTTGTTGATCTGGCTCAAATGCTCTATATTCTTCCAGGATTTTGTCTGCCTGTTGATATGAAAAATCTGTTAATGTCTCCTTGTAACTATGTCAATTTTGAAGCTTTGTAAATAGCTACAAATTTAGAATTGCTACATATTTCTGGTAAGCTGAATATTTATCAACGTGTAAGGAAGTTTATGCTAATTTAGTATAATTGACATTTTGTCCTACAATTTTTTTCTGACATTATTATATGTATATTTGCTTTATTTAGCTCTATATTTACCTGGTATATCATTCATACACTTTCAAATAATGTTTTTGCCATTTTAGTGAAGTGTAGTGAACCTACAATGTTGTGTTAGTTTCAACTGTGAGCAATTCAGAATATATATATATATATATATATTCTTTTGCAGGTTCTTTTTCATTAGAGGTTATTATAAGATATTGATTATAGTTCCTTGTGCTATACTGTAGACCCTTGTTGTTTATCTATTTTATGTAGGGTTGCATATATTAATTCCAAACTCCTAATTTATCTCTCCCCTAACTCCCACTATCTTCTTTGGTAACCATGTTTCTTTTCTGTGTGTAAGTCTATTTCTGTTTTGTAAATAAGTTCACTTATATCATTTTTTTAGATTCCACTTATAAGTGATATCATATGATACTTGTCTTTCTCTCTCTGGCTTACTTCACTTAACATGATAATTTCTAAGTTCATCATGTTGCTGCAAACGGTATTACTTAATTCTTTTTCATGACTAACATTCCATGGTATATATGTATCACATCTTCTTTATTCATTCATCTGTTCTTTTTTTCATTCATCTGTTGATGGACATTTGGGTTGCTTCTGTGTCTTGGCTATTGTAAATAGTGCTGCTGTGAACATAGGGATGCATGTG